GGCAACCAGGCGACTAAATGTCAGCTGATGTGAAGGGGGGGGGGGGTGTTTGCATGAGTACAGTTTTCAGCTTAAACATGAACATGTCAGTTATGGAAGAACACTTATGGTTGTACTGTAAACTTTGTAACTAAGCCCAGGCATGGATTAGACCTTGGCAAACATTACAGCTCCCACCCACAGACCAACAGGAACACATCAGAGCCAGTATCAAGCTGCTGAAGCTCCTTCTGTCTGTTTTCACACGTGTGCTGCTTCTAAACACGCAGCTCAACATTTGCTCCATGACACGACAAACTACACACCTGAAGAAAAGAAATAAAACCTCAAGCAGCACTTTGAGTGGAAACGCACTTATTCACTTTGTTGCTGAGAAGATGAGAAGAGCCAAGAAACAATGCAGCACATAACGCTGGATTTACTTAAAGCTGGACAGTCTTTGTGCTAAAATAAGCTAAGCTAAAATAAGCTAAGCTAAGATAAGCTAAGCTAAGCTAAGCGACTGTTGGTTGTAGCCTCATGTTTAAAGCAAAGACGTGAGAGTGTCATCAGTTTGCTTCAATGTTGTATTGTTAATATTTCTTTACCATTATATGGAGATTATAGGAAGCTCCTGAGACAGTGTGTTCAGTGACTACTGATCTCATGCACAGACACACACACATAAACATCATTAAAAATACAACTGTGATGATATTAAAATGCTCCCCCCGTCACGCAGGACGGATCATGCATCATTCACGCAGAGAACAATCCCCTCAGCTGAGGGACGGAGTAAAATGTCTGACGCTCCAAACACACGAACCTGCGGACGCACCGTTCACCTCCTCAACAGGTGAGACAGAGGTCACATGATCGGTCCGAGGGCGGAGACGATGAATGGATGAGGAGAAGACAAAAAACAAAGTCCTGATACACCAAACTGTTTTCATTTTTCTCAAATCTTTTCTATTTTTATGAATAAACTTTGGATGATTTGACGACGTTGGGTCGACAAAAGTAAAACCAAAGAATCCAAAAGTTTAGAAATCACAAGTTAAACTTAAATAACGTGTTTTTTAAAATTTTAATCAGAGAAGAAGTTACAGCTGCCAGATACATGTGCATTAACAAGTACAATACTCATCTGTGAGTGGTGGTAGAAAAACGTAAAACTCATGTAAAGTAAAAGCACCTCGACATTTTTCAGTAACCGAGTAAAACTGTTTTATTTCACACGGCTGGAAACGTCTTTTTCCAAACCTTGAAAAACTGCAACTGAAGCTCTGATGAGTGATAAAGAACCAGACTCCCTCCTCCATGTCTCGGAAACATCTTCGAAGTTTTGCTTTGTCTTGAAATCTTTTTTAATTAAAGATGTTTGAACGTGAGATACGTGCTAACACCGAAGTCAGTTTACAGACACGTAATAAACATCTAAGTAAGTGTTTATTAATCTTTTACTGATAAACTGGTGACGCTGGTGAACAGAGCAGAAACACAGACAGAAAGACAGTGTCGGTGTCATTTAGACGGACTCCTCGTGGTCACGTAGAAGACTTCAACATGGCCGCCGGTCCGGGGAACCGGCGCAGCGCAGAGGTTTCAGATGCCGCGTCCTCGCTGGCTCAGACATGTGGGGCAGAAACGGCGGTCTGGCACGGCACTTTGTGATTATGCATTGTGAAATGGGTCGGTGGTGATGTCACAGTCGCTATGCAACAGATTTAATCTAATCCCCTTCCCCCAGATTAGGAGGGAAAATCACTTGAAGGCCTTTTGTCTAAATTACACAGCATGTGAGTGTTGCTCTAACCTTCACCTCCAGAGAGCTTCATCCTGGGTCGACTTTTGACACAGTCCCTCACAAAGAGCACCTCACTGTTGCTCATTACGCTTCACTGAGACCCCTGAACACTGTGCACATCTATCAGCTGGGAGGTGAGGCCACTTACAGGTGAATATGAGTCACACTTCACCAGGCGCCACTTGGAAAAATGACTCATTCATCTCAATATGAAATGATTAATCAGGTTTATGAATCATAATGTTAATAATAATAATACACAGGCCTGCGCTGCAGCTGCACACAGGTTTATAAAGCTGACACAACACGTCAGGTGTCACTTACACCTGGCTGCAGGTTTCTACATGTCAATGACAACGAGTGCATGTTTTCATTTAGGTTTCTTCTACAGTACAACTATACTGTGTGTGTGTGTGTGTGTGTGTGTGTGTGTGTGTGTGTGTGTGTGTGTGTGTGTGTCGAACGAGCAGACAGATGGTTGTGGAAGCGAATGGGGAAAATACATTATTCAGACTGAACAAGATTGAAGTTTAATGGCAGAGTGACAAACATGAGATGTGACAGAATGAGTCCAATACTGTACAACACACACACACACACACACACACACACACACACACACACACACACACACACACACACACACACACACTGCACATATTCCACACATGCACACCAGACTACTGGATTAATTAAAACAGTTTTTTGGAGCTTCGTTGATCAGGTTTCTGCTGGTGGTTCTGGTTCTGGTTCTGATCATCGTCTGACTCCATCTTTTCTAATGAGGCTGGATCTCTCATCAGTGTGTGCTGTCTGCTGCTAGGTGGCAGTAACGCACTGACACTGTCTGTGATGTGTGTGCAGTTTAAATCCTCTTCAGCTGTGACGGCGCGGTGATTCGTCATGACTGACAATAAAACAATAAAACATCCAGATCCAGATCCTGGAGATCACTCGGCACCAGACGGACACCAGTAGATACAGGAAGCGGCGCCTTGCTCGGCGGCATTTCCTGTGTCAGAGGGAAACCTTTTTAGGATTTAACCTCAGCCGTGACATAATCTACAACATCAAATCCCTCGGCTCCATCAGCAGCGATCTGATTGACCGTAATCCTGAGTGAAAGTCGGACTTTAATTCCTGTAATTGTGCTGAAAGCTCCGGAGAGACAGTGTCGGCCTTTTCCACCGAGATCAAACTTGAGAACCTGATAATATTTTCAACATTTTTTTGCATTTTGTCAGAAGATTTTCAAAACAAAAGTATTACAAGAGCACGTAGGACGAGCCTCTACAGTAATGTGACGTTGACTCCTGAAGCTTGAAGGCCTTTTGTCACAACTTTCACCTGAGCTATGTTCAAATAAACAGATTTAATGTGGGATGATTTTTATTGAGGAGTGAAGCTGCCAACAAGTAAACGAAATGATCTAATTATGATCTAATTAAATTCTGTACTTTCACCCTCCCAGGGCTCCTGACCATATCCAGGTCCCATGGGACCTATTCACAACGGGGACTCTCTGGGGAGCCACAGGAATCCTTTCAGGACCCTCAGGAAGTTTTGAAGCGCCTCCCAAACACACTTGAAGACCAAACACACAGAAGCCCGCTGAAGGACTCTGGACCTCGTCACAGAACCAGGACCTGAGACAAAGGTGTCTGCAGCCAGGTGTAACACCGCTGCAGCAGCAACAACAACGACTGCTGATCAGAAACGGATCATTTCATTTCTCAATAAATAAAAACATTTTAAAAACAGCTGAAGACTTCAGTTTTCATTCTGCTGCTTTTCCTCTGGTAAGAAGCACATTCAGGTTTTGGTTTCAGGTGTTTCAGTTTCTGCGCTTTAGTTTGAAACAGGAAGCGTGTGGTAATTAATCTTCTGTTTTACTTCATGTTTAGAAATCTTCCACTTCCTCTGACTAAAAATTCACAGTGTCACCATCGAATACCAAGTTCCTCCTCAACGGTCAGCTGTGTCGGTCCAAATCCTTCCACTTCCCTGTCTCTGGGAAACAGAGTTTAATATTTCTCATCAAGTGTCATATTCCTCTCACACTCCACCTCTGATGCAAGTTTCCAGATTCAGCTTTAAAATCTCTGGTGATGAATAAAGTTTTTGCCTTGAAAAACGTAGTTTTGTGTTTTAATAATTTCCAACTTTGCTTGTCGTGAATATTTAATTCATTTTACAGTCAGAGAAATATGTGACAGGGATTATATGTGTTTGAAGTTACAGGAAGTGTAAAGTTGTGTTTACATCATATGGTAGTTACCGTCATGTTACTCAGAGTTTGTTGGTTGGTTTTTATTATTAATTATTCATCAGTTTCGAGTTTTACTTTAATTCATTTGTTGTATTTTTTTGATAATATAAAACACATCCCCCATGATGCATCAGTGGAAGACAAGCAGCCACCGCAACGTCAAAATCCAATCAGGTTTTGTCTCAATCAGACACTGACACGATGCCTGGAAGTTCAACTAATACCGACGCCTCATGTCAGAGTCCACGGTACAAGGTCGTTAAACACTGTCACACTCTGCTTTTCAAAATAAAAGTCGCTTTCCACCTTTCTCTGTCTGCCCTGCTCTGCACTCAGGTGACAGCATGTTCTGGTTCTTACAGGTGAGCGAGGCTGCAGCTTCTCCATTTTCAGACACGGAGCATCTGAGGTTTCTATTGGCTGAGAACCGAGGGGTCAGAGGTGAACCGAGGGGTCAGAGGTGAACCGAGGGGTCAGAGGTGAACGGAGGTGAACGCTGAGCTGGAGACCAGTTCAACGTGGATCATTTAAATCAGTTTAAATCAACACATCTTGTCAGTTTCCCGCTCCTCTGTCTCTTCTCTTTTTAAACTGTTGGTGGGAGAGAACGAGACGTTTGAGGACGTTACTGTTATTGTGTTCAGCTGCTGCCGGTCTGAAACCACCTGCATGAATCTAGAACAGAACAACGTGTGCAGCTCTACATCTTCTGTATCTTTACCTCACTCACTGAATATTGTTTCAAAGCTCATTATTGTTCTGTCTTCAGCCTCTGAGCGTCTCTGTGTTTGTATGAACTGATGAAACACCAGGAGTCGGATCATTGGCTCCATGTGCAGATTCTTCTGACGGGAGGAAGAAATGAGGAGGAAACCCAGCGGCTGGCGGGACCACACACACACTTCCTTATTTGCTCCTGACAAAGGTTATAAAATGAGTAATCAGGCCACCGCGCTCTTTACTGTCCTCCTTCACTGTTTCCTGCTTCCTTCTGCATTATAACATTCACACACACACTCTCCTCCACACACACTCACACACACCGTTTCAGAGGCACGTCTCACCATGGGGAACTTTGTCGCCAATGAGGGACTCTCCATCTTTGTTATTGTGAGTATTTCTGTTTTAAATGCTGCAAATTCTTTCTCTCTTAACGTCAGGAACATTCTGGAAGATGCAGTTAGTAGATGATGTTTTAATTTAAAGAGTTATGAGCTAAAAAAGGAGATTTCTCTCCTCCTGCAGCCACTAACTGTAAATCATGAAACACACTTCAGTGTGTCTGTGTTGTGTTTCGTGGGTTTGTTGAATTATAATCTGTGTTGATTCACTCGTTTCCTTCCTGAGTGAATGTATTTGTTAATTATCAGTGTGACGCTGTGATTTAACCTGACCTGTGTGGATGTGTGTTGCAGCTGGTCTGGCTGGGGATCAACGCGTACCTGTTCGTCCAGTTCTACTTTAACTTCCTGACACCGAAGTGGTTTTACACCAGAGTCCTGCTCGGGGTGAGTCGGACCCGCAGCATCAGTCCTGCTGCTGCTGCTGCTGCTCTGCTCTTTACGTTCACCGTGTTTATCCACTGACTGACGAAGCCGTTTGTTCTCAGCTTCAACAGAGAGAATACAAGTAGAAAGAATTTTAAAAAACGAATTAACTCACAAATGTTTTAGGAAAATATGAAATGAGTCACCTGGTGAAAAACAGGACCCGGGCTTTTTCAGTTCCTCATGATGCAGCAGCTGCTAGAAGTCCTCATCATTCACCCTGAACACACACTGCAGCAGAATACAGATCAATCAATCAGCTGATCAACACGACATTCATCTGCAACAGCTTTAATGATTAAATAATTATTATTAATCAAGATGCTTTTTACCAGGCGCTCTTCGGTTCCAGCCTCTCAGCTGTGAATCACTGACAATTTCATTTAATCTTCTCTGATATTTACGTCTCGTCAGCACCAGTACGAGAATGAATGGTTTTTCGGTTGCTGTGGTTACGGTTACGTTACTGATCTCCTGATTTGTTCCAGTTTGAAACTACAAGGTTTGATTTGTTTTGATTGAACTCTTGAGGCTTCATCAGATAAACAGCAGCTGTGTGTTTCTCTGAAACACGTCTTTACCGCTGATTATATTCTCTGCATCTGCTGGTGGGAAGTGAAACTATAAGATGTTTATCAGAATAGAAATGTGACGTGTTGGTGATTTTTAGATTGTCATTAGAGTTAAAAGCGCCATGAGGTCAGTGCATGTTGGACATCACAGAAACAAACAGGTGAATTATTCACCTGCTTCCTGTAACAACGTGACACAGTTTAAAATCCTCCACACGTCACAATAACCTGGATAAATACACGTCCACGCCTTCACGTATCTCCCCTTATCTACACGGCCTTGTGTCCACAGTAAAACCAGCACGCAGCGAAGGGAAGGAGGTCTGACGTCAGGTTTCCTCTGCGGTCACACCTGGGTTCACAGAGCCAACACCTCCGGCTGCACAGCTGGCCTCAAGTCAGCAGAAGTGAAACACAGGGATTAGACTTTCAGGTTGAAGATAATATGAGTTTCAGTTGATTGTTCAGTTAAGCTGCAGCGCTGAGTGTTACATGGTGTGTATCGTGTCCTGATAGAGACAGAGTCAGGAATGGAGGGATTAAATCCACAGTGTGGGTCACATGCTGCCAGTGTTTTCATTTGAAAGTTGAATAATTCCTGCCAAGATTAAAATTTAAATTCCAATTAATAAATCACAACATATATATATACAGTATATATTACTGTGAACAGGAAAATAACAATGAAAGCTGCATTTTAAAAGATTCATTTCAAATATTCAATATTAATTTTCATCATGGGCTTCAGTAACATCAAGTCATGTGGTCACATTGTTATCATGTCCTACAGTTAATTACACTTTCCCTCTGAAGTTTGACTCAATCAGAGAGATTATTTCTGTGATCTGATTGAACGCTTGCTAACGAGTAATCTGATTACATCACGGAGTAATCCCCCGCCCTCTCCATCCCATCAGCATGCGCTGTCCTGGGCCAGAGCTCCTGCTGCCGCCCTCAACTTCAACTGTATGCTCATCCTGCTGCCCGTCTGCAGAAACCTCCTCTCCTTCCTCCGCGGCACCATCCAGGTATCCATGACAACCAAAACACCAGATCACAGAAAAGTTGTTTTAATCCCCAGGTTTTTATTTATTGGTCATTAGGAGTCAGAGGAGTGAGTCTGAAGTTTCTCTGCTTGTCTGAACATTTGCTTTATCAGTGCTGCAGCCGCACGGCCGCGCGGCAGCTGGACAGAAACATCACTTTCCACAAGCTGGTGGCGTACATGATCGCCTTCCACACAGGTCAGAGGTCCATCTTCTCATTCAGAGGTTTACAGTCAGGAATTCTGGAGCTTTTCTAGACAACACAAGGTTAATTATTATTATAAGACAGAAGTCCTTTAGATTTAGAAAAGGTGCTCCACAGATGATCGTTATCAGTCTTATTCTTCCTGTCTAGATAAAGTTAATCATTATAAACCTCGTCACATCACTTCCCTCTGTATATTGTATTGATTGTGACGTTTGGTAGCTTCATGGCTTCCCAGGCTTTTTACAAGTTGTCCTAATATGCGTCCCCTGCCTCTCCCTGTAGCCGTGCACATCGTCGCCCACTTGTTTAACTTCGAGTACTTCATGGACGCCCAGCTGAATCGGAACAGCAGCCTCCTGACCTTTGTCCTCTCTGAAATCGGCACCGGGGACAACCTTCCCTTCCTGAACCCCATCAGGACCAACGAGACGGTGAGTCGTGGTTCACGTCATGTTCCTATTATATTTAGATTATTTGCTTTCCTGTTTTTTCCAGTAATATATTAAAGGTTGATGCCTGTTGTGTTGCTAAACTCTGTGAAGTTGCAAATGCCTAAATTGCTAAATTTGGTGTCTGAAAAAGGATTACTTCATTTGACAAACTTCCTCTTTAGAGAATTTGTTTTGCAAATATTTTGTCATTTCAGAAACTTCCTCTTTGGTCAGTTACAGTATTTCTTCAAAAGCCAGAGAACAAATCATCACGATGTAAAATAAACAGCTTGTGCAGACAAACAGAAAACTGCAGTTTCCAACACAAACTCTGTGTATTCTGAACCTGAGGCCAGAAACAGGTTCAAGTGTTTGCTAAAAACAAATGGATTTTTGAGCCTTTTTTACTGAGTATGTTTTTACCAAGTCATTCTTTAACTGACACAACTGCTGACACCTCCTCACCTCTTCCCAGAGCACAAGTTACTCCGTCTGTCCTTAAAGTGCAGAGTCATGTTCAACACACTCTGCAGTTAAAGACAAAACATGCTGCAAACGTCACCCAGCTCTTACACTCAAACCGACTTGCAGTAATTATACTTCAACCGTCTTGGTGTATTTAAATATAAACCAGTATTTATACCTGAGGATACAACCGGAGCAGTACTTGCCCGCCGTCAGTCTGAGGAACTATGATGAAACAGACATTAGAAGCAGGAGGGAAGTTAGCCAATAAACGCCACCTGCAGGGCTGTTGTGATAGAAGTGGAACTGTTAAAAGGTCACGACCCCGTGACCACGACCCACACGGTGACTAACGAGCTGCGTGGTTGTATTTGAGGAGAAGAAGCTTTAACGTGTGAACTCTGATGCAGAACCCCACCATCGTCATGTTCACCACCATCGCCGGGCTGACGGGCGTGGCCATCACGCTCGCCCTCATCCTCATCATCACTTCGTCCATGGAGGTGATCCGCAGGTCGTACTTCGAGGTGTTCTGGTACACACACCACCTCTTCATCATCTTCTTCATCGGCCTGGTGTTCCACGGCTACGGGTGAGACGGCGCCAGAGTTCAGGCACAGAAACACAGTTCAATCTATATGTGACATACGAGGTCCATGTTCCCCCAGTTTCCTGTTTGATAATAATAACTTTACTGAGTCATTCATCCTTCCTCTGTGTCTCTGACTGCAGACGTATCGTGCGAGGACAGACGAATAAAAGCCTGAACATCAGCCGACCGGAGCGTTGCGCTGACCAGTTCGAAGACTGGGGAAAACCCGGGTCCAACTGCAGCGTACCAGTGTTCGCTGGAAACCCTCCAGGGGTGAGCTGTTAGAGACGCAGCTTCCAACAGCTGGGAGACTGTTGCTTTAAACTTTTCTTCTAACCCTCCGTCAGTCTTTGGTTTGCTTTTATTCCAGCGCTGTGAAAAGCTTCACATCCGCAGCTGTAGTTATCGGTCCGACTAATCACTGTGCATTTCCCATCGTTGTCCTCTCTAGACGTGGAAGTGGGTGCTGGCTCCCATGATCCTCTATGTGTGCGAGAGGCTTGTTCGCTTTTACAGATCCCACCAGAAAGTGGTCATCACCAAGGTGTGTATCTGTTTGATTACAGGGGAAAGTAAAGACACCGAACCCTTGAGTTCACACTTGAGTCTGAACGTGTGAAATGTAACAAGTTGCTTCCACTGCAGACGTTTCAACCACCATCTGAAAAGACCTTGAAGCTCCATTATCATCCATTATCATCCATCCTCCATGTTGGTTTGACTCTTAGCAACACAGGCTCCTCCAAGACAAACCTCCGCACCCTCAAATAAAGTTTCATCTTATTTATATTTGATATTTCATCATATGTTTCTGCCACAAATCTTAAAAACAGTAAAAGAAACCGACTGAACGATCTGACAGCATGTGCTGTGCAGAGCGACGCTTCCCTGTAGGATTTAAGGATCCAACACAAATCACCATCTTTCCTCATGCGGATCCAAATGAAAATGCAGATTCTAGTAATTTAGTGAATTCTAATTATTTCTACTAGTGAAACGTTGAGCAACTGATGTTTGATTCATCAGTTATGAAACAAAGAAGTGTTTGATGCTTTAAGTGTAAACTGAATATTTGTAGGTGACGCATTTCAGGAATGAATTAAAACACGAAACCTTCCTGTAACCTCACACCTGGTCTACAGGTGGTGATGCACCCCTCCAAGACCCTGGAGCTGCAGATGAAGAGGAAAGGCTTCAGCATGGAGGTGGGTCAGTACGTCTTCATCCAGTGTCCGTCCGTCTCCCGGCTGGAGTGGCACCCCTTCACCCTGACCTCCGCCCCCGAGGAGGACTACTTCAGCGCCCACATCCGTATCGTCGGGGACTGGACTCAGGAGCTGTACGAGGCCTGCGGGGGGGACAAGAACGAGACCCAGGAGGCCTGGAAACTGCCCAAGTACGACATGTGGGGGGGTGTCTCTGCGTCTCAGACAGTGAGGAGCTGCCGCCTCGGGGTTCAGATGCTCTACATGTGGAAATTTCAGAATTTCTCAAGTTGCTGTTTGATGAAATGAAACTTGAGGAAGGAAAAGTTGAAGTGAGAACTGAAATCCAGTTCTGCATTATTCTTTCCTGCTCTCGCTCTTTCCTTGCATCACACGCAGGAGCTTTAGATTAGATCTGAGAGCTGTAGTTGCTTTTCAGATTGAGATTTAACATTGAAAAACGTATAATAATAATAATAATAATAATGATGATAATAAGTTTGTGTTGTAGATGCCAGTGATGTCTTAAACATCTGTCCTCCATCATGACCAGCTTCTCTCTCTGTGTCTCAGGGTCGCCATAGACGGCCCGTTTGGAACCGCCAGTGAAGACGTGTTTCGTTACGAGGTGGTCATGCTGGTGGGCGCGGGAATCGGAGTGACTCCCTTCGCCTCCATCCTCAAGTCTGTGTGGTACAAACGCATCCAGAACAACCAGGACGTCTTCACCAAGAAGGTGAGGATGAAACTCGGTGCAGCGGCAGAATCCCCCGATGATTCCCACGTGTCGTGGTAAATTAAGTGACTGCTGTCGTTGCAGATCTACTTCTACTGGCTGTGCCCGGAGACGCAGGCCTTCGAGTGGTTTGCAGACCTGCTGCAGTCGCTGGAGGGTCAGATGACGGAGAAGGGCATGACCGACTTCCTCAGCTACAACATCTACCTCACCCGCTGGAAGGAGAACGAGGTACGACGGAGGCATCAGACCTGTGTCTTTAGAAACCCTTTCCAAGACTCACTCACACTCAAACATCTTAATCTTTAACTTAAAACCAAGGACGTCTTTGTATCTAAGAAAAGCTGACGTCCAACAGCCACTGATTCTCCGACCTCCGCGGCCTCTGAGTCTCACTGGATGAGCTCAAACATGTGATGACGAACTGTTTTCAGGAAATGAAAAGTTGCGTTTTCTCCTTTTCGTCAGGCGGCTCACTTCCGTGTTCACCACGAGGCGGAGAACGACCCGATCACGGGGCTCAAACAGAAGACGCTTTACGGGAAACCCAACTGGGACAACGAGTTCACCAACATCGCGACAACGCACCCGGGGTGAGGCCTTCCATCGCATCATCGCACCATCACACCGCACACAGACAGCGTGCAGTCATCCCACCCGCAACCTTTGACCTTTAAATAACAAAGTGATTTTTAATGTGAGAAAACACGAACCAAAGGGACGACAGTCATCACAACACGCTGCTACGACTGTTGCTCAGATCCTGCGCTCACTACATACAACGCTAGCTAACAGCTAATTCAGCACACTTAATACACTAGTAAAATATAAGTATAGCAGCGCCTGCTAGCCTGCCATTGTTTTGCACGTATGAAAACAGGTGTGTGTGATATCTGCAGGAAGCTTAAATAATGATGTAATAATAATGTGTCCTCAGAACTAAAGTGGGAGTGTTCCTGTGTGGTCCGCCTCAGCTGGGGAAATCTCTGGAGAAGCAGTGTCGGTCCCACACGGAGGCCGACGTCAAGTTCATCTTCAACAAAGAAAACTTCTAAAGAAAAACAACAACTGCTGGAAAACGACCGCAACAAGGAGAGAGAGGGAACTTCCCTCCAGCAGTGAGACTGAGGCCGAGCTGCAGTTTTCACCAGCAGCTTCATGAGTGTGAATGTACCTGACTTCAGTCGGGAGGCTGGAGACTTCAGTCAGCGCTCAGCCGGACTGTTCCTCTGCTTGTTGCTTCTCACCACAAAACTTTTGCAAAGATGCCAGTGTTGCTCAAAAAAGAAGGAAATACCCCCGTGGTATTTTCCACATTACTTTGTTCTCCTTTTGTGTTACATCAGTAAGTGAAACGCTGCTGCTGCTTTCAAAACTTTCCTCAGCTTCCTGTGTGCTCCTGCCGGGTGGACATCATCACAGTTTCTGAACCTGGTGATCAAAGCTGCTCAAAGTGAGTCTGCTAAAAAATACAGAAGGAATCCTCCATCAGTGTCAGTGTCTCAGCACGTGACGGTTTTCTACAGTGACTGAATGTCTTGTTTGTGAGTTTAGATAAAAGTGGAAGCAGAGGAGAGTGGGTGTGGATGATGGATGGATTGATGGATGAAGTGTTCAGTGTCTCTATTTTTTAAAATAAATCTAACAGCAGCTGATGATCACGATGAAACCTGTCAGTACGTGTGTGTTTTGATGACTGCTGTCAGTCAGACTTTTATTTCGTGTTGCCTTCATGTACGTTTTTCCTCCTGTGACCAAGTTAATTTCCTTTTATGGATAATAAACCTGAACTTTCAGAGAAAGCCTGAAGCGATTCTTCCAGCTAAAACATGCTGTTATTAGTGATGTGCAAACAAAAAGGGAACTTTAAGCTATTTTTAAATTCCTCCTTTACACGAAATAGAGTTCTTATTAAATCCTGTTCTGTGACACAAGTTCAGGTTTTAAAACACTGTGGTCCTAATCTCTTACACAAAGATGTTCTTCTGCACAAAAGCAGCTGCAAACCTTCATCCAGGCAGAGCACCATGTGAAGGACGCTGCAGAATAATTCAGCTTTTAGAAATCCACATTCACAGACCAAGAGACAGAAAACCATAAAAAGACAATGCGACAATAAAAAAGACACAAAACGATCAAAAAGAGAAACAACACAACCATAAAGAAACAGTGACCAGAGATGCAAACAAACGGTAACGAATGAGTCGTTTTGTCTCCTTCAGTCCTTATATAGGACGGGTGGCAGCTCATTCACTCCACAGGCCCAGGCCTCTGACAGTTGGGTTAGTGTTTGCAGAGAGGAGAGTCACTGTGGGTCTGTTGAGGCATGAAGCCTCGGACAGACGTTACAGCGTTGACACGACTGCAGCAGAAACCAAAGTCAGTATTTGACAGTATTTGACAGACGGAGCTCAGAGCACCGAGGCTCTTCAGTCCAGTCTGCAGACATTCAGTGGATATAAAGATCCAGGTAACTGTTTAATATTAATGAACGCATTCGAAGCTTTACAATGATTTACACAGGTGCATCTGAGCAGTGAAGAAAAACCACGACACAATTAAAACTGAGGGAAAAAATCGCAGGTAAATAAAAAGAGAAATCATTAAATACTCTCAGATGTCGGAGTGTGTTGTTCAGAAATCTCCCGTTTATTTTGCTGCAGCAAACATCCGAGTACAAAAGTCCTTTTTCTCTGGCTGACATGATCCACACAATGAACAGAGAACGAAAACAGTGGACGCGTTGCATACAGCTGCTTCTGTCAGGCATCAGTGACACATGGAGAATTAAAGTGAAGCTATTAAAGCACTGCAGTGACATGAGAAGATAAATACATTAACATCATGATGTTACGTGCATCTGAAGGCTGAAAAAGCTGAAGGAAATCCAGCTGTTTTCTTCTCTGCAGCTGTTCCTCAGAGGTTAAAGGTCAAGCTTTGAGGCGCTCACACAGCTGCATGGATGTGAACTCTGTGGCACTTGGTGGCCCCCTGCTGTTCATAGGGACACACTGCATTCCTCTTCTGGCGGTAGTGGTGGTCGTGTGTGTGTGTGTGTGTGTGTGTGTGTGTGTGTGTGTGTGTGTGTGTGTGTGTGTGTGTGTGTGTGTCCTATGCGACAGCCACAGCAAACACACTGACCACACAGTACATAGTGCGGTTTTCCCATCTCACAGTGCAGCTTCCTGCAGAGACAAAAACAAAAACAAGTGTTAGAGAGAAAAAACTATTTGTGGACGTTTCAAATCCAAAGCTGACGTGAACAAATTTATTTCCTTCATCTCCATTTTTCTTTTGAGCATTTTATGTCCTTTTTATTAAAACGCTGACAACAGAGAGAATGACTCAGGATCGTTGTAATCCCACAGATGTTTATTAAAGAGATTCGATCATACATGGAAAGTAGCTTCAGGTAATGAGACCGTCTCTTTACTGCAACAATTAAAACTGATGCGGCGACCACACACCCGTATTTTATTACATTTCCTGTCGCAGCTTCACAATAAAAGTCTTATTCTGGTTCACCAGTGGAAAGCTGTCAAAGGATGGCTTCACAATTTAATAAGAATCTGTTAAAAGAAGCAGCACGTTTCTGTGTTTGGTTGCATTTCCTTCTACTTCGTCCTTTTAAAAACTAGTAAACAACACAGGCTGTGAGGACGCAGCTGAAACAGGTGAGTGTTGAAATAGTGGAGAACTATCGTTAATGACATTAGCTCCACCTGTGTTTTCCTTGCTGTCATTTACAGTGCAAGCTGACGAAACCCTGCTCTGGGATTTTGGTCATCTGTGGTTATTTTCCCGAAATGATCCGACTCATCAAATCACACCGAGCTGCTCAGCGGACGTTCTCCTTACCGTCCATGGCCGTGTCCCAGTAGCAGGAGTTAGCTGTGTGGAGTCCTGCGCCTGTTTTCTGCATCACAGCGCACGTCACTGCACAGACAAACACATGTGCACACACTCACACATAAACCCTCAGAGGACAGGATGAAAGTTGAATTTTCATTTGTTGAAAAGGTTCATTTCACAGTAAACTCTGCGGTCACCGTCACAGACTCATACCGATGTACTTGTATGGTTTCCCCTGTTTGACCAGCTGCGTGAGGCAACGCTCCACAATGCTGGCGGTCCATTTGTTCACCAGACTCTGGCTGTAGTCGTCACTACCCAAGATATTCTCGATGCACTGAGACACACACACACACAGACACGGGTCCATGAGTTAACATCAGAGTGTTTACAGTCATGTGGAAGTCACTGGATGCTGTTTCGCCCTGAGGACACTCAAGTAAAGAGCAAACACTGTTCTGCACTTCAATAAACATCGCTGTCAGAAACCTGAGTACAGCTGCAGCAGTGAAACAACACTTCAGACAAAAAGCTCTGGGTGGATTTCATCATGTGTTTGTGCTCTGATGTGGCATTTTTCATATTACTTCAAAAGTTATAAACTAATCTTGAACCAGATCCTTTAATAATCCTCCTGAGCCTCACAGCAGCGCGGAAACTCAAAATTCATAAATAGCAGCAGCAATGTTTTGGAAATAAACCAGTTAAACAATATCATTATCATATTATGTGTTTTGGTTGAATGGTGCAGCCCCTAGCTACGTGCAAAAAATACATTCTGACATCAAACATGTCACATCACACATTAAAGAGAAATCCAGACTAAAACATTGACAGGGTGGATCTCATTACTGTTCCTGTGGTTTTTACTTATTCATGAAAAGATTTCAGATGAATTAATTAATGTAATCTGGGTGTGAATTAACCTGCTCTATTGGAAAACGGGGGTAACACTGTATTTTATATGAAACACAGTGATAAGACCTGATACAGTGGAATAATGTGATTTTAAGAAACTTTAGAGTCAACATTACCTCTTTGACAATGTTATCAGCTTCTTCAGAGTTAAATGAGCCCTGGAAATGAGAATAACAGACGAGTAGGAATCAGTACAGGTTATCAAACTATCAAACAACTGACAATTATATCTATTGTATACCTACATGCCCATGAAGGATACAATATCATACATACATAAATATACAATACAATAATTTACACATTATTATTATTATGATAATTAAGCTAAATAGTCAGAGAGTAGACAGTTAGCATTAAGGCCCTGTAGGTTTAAAAAAGGAACCGTGTAACTGAGGTCAATAGCAACACTCAGGTAAGTATCATGAGCGGATCATTAGCTAATTCTGAATATATATATATATATATATATACACACACACATACATACAATGTCATGTAATGATTAGATTTGATTTAGAACCAAAAGTCTCCGTTATTTGGATGTAGGTTAACGTCAATGTAAGGAGTGGCTATTCCGACCCCGATAAATCAAAGGAAAAATGGCGACTCGGATACAAACCTCGTTGCCGTTGTGATACTCCATCGTTCCCGTCGTGTACCGCCGCTTCACGGTGGTTGCAGGGTTTGTTTTTTTTAAATTAAAAATAGAGGAAAAATCGAAGCTGCTCGAAGAAAAACACGGTTGCGGACTTCCTGCGGGCTGTCAACAGTCAACGACGGCCGACAAGAGCGACAGGAACCGCGGAGCAGAGTGCGGCTGACACCTGCTGGTCACTAATGGAACTGCACAATAAACTCCAGTCTTATTTACACGCCACAAAAACTTAAAAACGCCACCACAAATAATCAAATAATCACTTCTTACTAACTTAAACTAATACTTTATGATACTGTGTCCAAAACATGTTGTTTAAACTCACCCACACACTTGAAATCGAGCCGCTGGTCCTTCACCATGATGTCGGCAGAGGGCTGAACTAACACAGGTGTAGATAATGAGCTATTAAGTAGTTGCTAAGTAGCCAACGTTAGCATTAGCAGCTATTTACTTGCCAGTCTAGAAACGTGTCTTGTTTTGCTTCTACGTAGCAAGAGCAAAAACTTAAAAAGAACTTTTCTAAAGATGCCGGCTGATAAATGTTGTTGTTTTATTATTTCTGGGAGGTCATATTGCATTGCAGAATATAAATTTATGTGCATTAATTCAAGTATGTCAATTCTGTATGTTTTACTTGTTGTATGTCTCCAGGGTTACGGTTCAAATACTAAATGTACCGACATATATTTCATGTTTTTCTTTACATTTTTACATAACATTCAAATTATGACATACAATTTTTCCACCACTGAGCCTACAATGTCGTATTTCTCTATTATAACAACAATTTATCATGTTAGAAAAAAGGAAAACAGGGGAAAACACTTATTTAATGTACTTTTTTAATGTACTCAGCTTTTCACAATACAAAAATAATGACTCATGTTCAGCTTTATATCAAAATGCTTTGCTGATGTCCCAAAAAATCCAGAGTGATAGAAAATGAACACGAGAGTCAGTTAAATGAGATTATCACGACAGAATATAAAACTGATGCATCTCCTTGAAATGCAAACAGATCACATCAAAAGTGCAAATGTGCTCAAGGACCATGTCGCAATAAATAAGAATATTTACATCCTCACAGTTCGAAACTCATACACACACATGCACACCAAACACACACACACACACACACACACACACACACAGCTTGAGGTTCAGCTGCTGGGTGGGACTTGTGCCACACACAGCAACAAAGGTGAAAGTTAAAAACCTCCCAGCAGCTGGGTGATACTGGTCCTACTGGTGGAGGAGGCTCAGCTGTAGGTCACTTGTGAACAGTGGTTAAAGTTCAGTGGTTGATTTTAAAGCTGCACTCAAATACAGATAAAAGGAAATAAAAACCAAAACATAGTCAGTCCAGGATTTTTAGTATAGAAGACAGTCTAGGTTTGACCCTGAAAGGTTACGCCACATAAACCTTTTGGATTCACAGCAGTTACAGCAGCTGCAATGAAAAGAAGCATCAAAACTTTTTAGAAACTTCTCTAGAGCTCAAACTATTGGTGGAGATTAGTCGATCGACAGAAAAGTAATCAGCAACAATGTTGATAAGTGACCTGATGTTTCACTTATTTCTTAAGCAAAAAATGACAAAAATTCTGGTTCCAGCTTCTAAAATGTGAATATTTGATATGAATATGATGGTAAATATGTGTATGTATGTATACATGTGATGGTTTCTGCTTCTCAAACATGACTTTAAACTGAATATCTGAGCATTAGTTGGACATCTGACATCACTTCAGCATTTTTCAATGTTTTCTGACACTTCATCGATTAATCAGGAAAATCATCTGCAGATGAATCAATTGTGAAAATAATCAATAGTTAGTTGGTAATCTGGACATATTTGTTTGTGCTGTGACTCTGTCTGTTTTAACTGCTGTGAATCCAACACCTGACAGTGATGTGACAGTGTACTGACGCACAGAGTCTAAACCACTGGAGGACGATGATTCTGGACGGAGACACTGCGTCTCTGTCGTGGCTTCACATGAAAACGTTCAAACACCTCAGAGGAGCTGGAGGACGCTGTGGAGGGAAGAGCTGCTTGAAAACACAGTAAAGTGTTTTGCTAGTGAACCTTTCTCACTTTGGTCTGACTTCTGGAGACGACTGAGTTCACCTGAGAGTTTAGCCCTGTGCTCACAGCACGGTACAGGCACCAGAGCGAGGCCCTCTGGCTGCAGGCGGCAGGGATTTCTGCTGTGCTCCGCCTCTGTTCGTCCCTGGGTGGCTGCTCCCGCCGGTGGCCGGGGACGGAGGCTCTCCCTGGACGGCTGCCTCCCCGCTGGTGGAGCCCTCCGCTGGGGTTTGGTCCCTGTCGTTGGCCTGCTTCGACCTGGAGAAGGAGAGGCGTCTGAAGAGGGAGAGCTGAGGGGAGGACGGAGGAGAGACGGCTGTTGTATCACCTTCATAAATAACCAGTTTGTCACATGACGTGTCGGGGTGTGATGCATTTAAACACAGGGTTAGATCCAAGTTTGTATTCTGGTTTTCTACCTTTTTGCCGGAGCCTGATTGGCTCTTTGAGCTGCTGTCTGCCGTCCCATTGGCTGGTTTGCTGTCACCTGTGGCGTCAGGCTCCTCAGTGATTTCAGCTGCAGTTGAGATTAAGACATTTATCACAACCAGAAAACTGTTTTTATTATCGACCACAGTTTATAGAAACTTTATTTTTTTAAATTAAAACGGTAAAACGTTTCAATTTTTCTTTACAGGTAAAAATGAAAAGATGATGGGAAGAAAAAACTTGCCCGACTGGGTTATGGGATTTTCACTCTCTTCCTCCTCCTCTTCCTCCTCACTCTCTACATCACTCTCCTCTGAAGACTTTAAGGACTCACTTTCAGCCTCCTCTTCCTCACCCTCACTTTCCAAATCTTCCTCTTCTTCCTCACCTTCCTCCTCCTCCTCTGCATCACCTCCTTTGCTTTCTTTCCCTTCACTCTCATCTTCACTTTCACTTCCTGCTGTCCTGCTTGCTTCCTCCTCCTCCTCCTCTTCCTCAGCAGCGCTCAGACCTATGGGTTGTTGGTTTACCAAACTGGAAGAATGAGCCTCTGTAACAGCAGCTGGATTTTAATCATGTGAATCTAATGAAACTTAACGAGGTGATCAAGGTCACATCAGGTCAAACTTTTCTCTGTTTTTCTGTGACACTCCACCTCGACCCCACCTTCCCCAGCCGGAGCGCCGCCCGTCACCAGCGCCTGACCCCACCACAGACTGAACCCAGACAGACGGATGTGAGTCACCTCTCTGCTCTCCGTCAGGCACGCTCTCTTCCTTCAGCTCCTCCGGCCTCTGCAGAGATCAGACGTCACACGTTGGAGGCGACAGAGAACGACGAACGAATGAAAATCAAAGACTGAACTCAGCTGTGAACCTACACGACTCCGAGTCTGGTCCAGGCTCTGAGAGGACGGCCCCTCAGTGTCAGCCGCCGTGTCATTCTCCACTTCCTCTTCATCACCGACGACGTCGTCCTCTTCCTCCTCCTCCTCCTCCTCACCTTTGCTCTGCGTTTGAGAAAATACTTTTGTCAAATCCTGAAAGAAAAAGAGAAATAAAGACGTTTCAGAAAAGAAGATGAACGAACAGTTTCATTCTCTGAACATTACATTTGTTTTTGGACATTTTTCATCTTTAATGACTTTAATTATTTGTTATAATTGTTTAAAAACTGAGATCTACGTCTACCAGTGGAGACGAGGTAGGAAAAGTGCACACACAAGGGCTGAGCTGGGTTTACTGCTGAGCTGATCACATCGTCTTCAAAAGGACAGACACAGAGCAGGAGAGGAAGATTAAAGGAAAACACTGAAGCAAAACTCGATGTGAGTGTTTTTATATTTACTAAACAGCAGCAGCAGCAAACAGAAGCTCTTAGCGCTGGATGAAGAGAGCAAACAGCCGGACGGCAGCAGGGAATGATGGGAAGGGATTACAGCTGGGATTATGAAACACAGAGACGATGACGTGACTGGAGGAAGAAAACAAGCCCCACCTGCTCCTGAAACCGGCCAATCACACACTCAGCAAAGCAGCTGAGAGGAAAAGCTTCAGACATCAGAGTTTCTGATCGACTGTTTCGACGACCTGCTGCTTTTCTCCGTTTGTAAACTGAATGTTTTTACTCAGACAAAACCAGAGACCATCTTGTACCAGACATTTTTATTTTTACCATCAATTCGTCGGAAAACATGAATTTCGAGAGATCGGTTTGAAATGAAAATGATTATTAGTTGCTGCAGCAGCAACTGATCAAACTCTGATCAGTTCTCACGTTCCCCACGTTCTTTAGTTTAGTTTTTAGTAAGTGAGAGCAGAGTGTCGACGTGTCACATGACCGACGTGACGCCCTCAAGTTACAGCTTTCAGTATCATTATAACAGATGTGCTGAAGCAGCAGCTGGAGCAGCAGCTGGAGCAGCAGCTGGAGCAGCAGCTGGAGAAAACACGACATCAGAAGAAGATTATTCAAAATACTGAAACTTTATTCTTCAAATCTCAGAGGTTTAGTTTAGACCCACCTCAGGGTGAACTGAAAATATCACTTCTGGCATCAGGGGCCGGTGGCACAAAACCCCTTAAGATTTCTACTTAAGTCTGACACTTAAGGTTTAATTTCTCCTTAGCTCAGGGAGTTACTTAAGGGTGTTGCACAGAATCTCTTAAAAGGTTAAGGAAAAAAGTTCAGAAATTCACAGCAGTGAAAGAGATTTTACAGCGGTAAAATTCTGCTGTTTCCATGGAGACTGACGATTTGCCGCCATTAGCACTTGCAATAGCCGTTATCTCATTTTGTGCAACAACTTCACTGACTCTAAGTGATTCCTTAAGTTTAAGACTAAGATAAGGAGAAATACTTAAGAGAACATTTTAAGGAAACCGTAACTCAGACTTTAAGGAAAATCTTAACCTAAGGTGTTTTGGTGAGGTGTGGTGGTCACCTGTGTCTGCTCCCCTCAGGTGTGTTTACAGACAGATGTGGAGAGATGGAGGAAGAAGTTGAATCAACACAAACTAAAGGAAACACAGATGTTTATTACCAGAGACAGAAATGAATGAGAACAGAAAAATCAAAAGGAGGTAAGAGGATCGTTCTGCATCAGCGTGTAAAGCTCTTGTTTCTCCTCGGATCAAAGGCACCGTGTTGTGACTGAGCGCCGACTGACGGGCTGCGTTACCTAACGCCACAGTGTCACGTACTGCATCACGAAGCAGAAACAAGGAAGCTGCCAAAAAACACACGTAAACAACGACTTCACAAGCAAAACTTCAGACAAAGTTTCTAAATCAGTTTCTACATTTCCTCCTTCACTAAAGCAGTGAAAAGAAGAAGCGACTTAATGTGAGATGATGGATGAGAGCGGGAAGGCACGGCGTGTTGGTGCGCCAGCAGGAAGCACAGGGAGGAGGGGAACACTGACGCTCCAAACACACCTGAGCAACGGCTCCAACACCTGTCCTCAACACTCAGGTCAACATCAGAGTGTGTGGACAGGCAGATGATTTAAACGTTCAGGTGAGACCTTCCTGAAAACGCCACTGAACGTGACAGTGAGACTCCTCCTCACCTGCGCAGGTGAACAAGGAAGTCTCCTCTTATTATATGTGTCGTGTTTCATTGTGATCAATAAAGTTATTTCAGGTTGAGGTACTGAGGCAAAACGTCGCCCCAGAACTCCTCCGACTCCCCCGCTGCCTGACCTTTGACCCCTGACCTCTGTTTACTTGTAGATCTCCCACTTTGTCTTTTGACACCAGCAGACTTTTTCCTTTGGACCTCTTCTTCCTCCTCTTCTTCCTCCTCCTCTTCTTCTTCACCTTCCTCCTCCTCATCTTCATTATCCACCTCTTCCTCCTCAGACTCTTCATCTCCCTCATCCTTCTCCTCCTCCTCATCCTCTGCTTCTTCTTCCTCTTGCTCCTCCTCCTCTTCTGCCACTTCTTCTTCACTCTCTTTTTCTTCTTCTGCCTCTTCCTCCTCTGCTTCTTCCTCCTCCTCCTCCTCTTCCTCCTGCTCTTCATTTTCACTCTCCTCCTCTTTTCCTTCTTCATTATCTTCTTCACTTTCCTCCTCATTTTCACTTTCTTCCTCATCACTCTCCTCCTCTTCCTCCTCGGCACTACTCTCCTCTCTCTCCTCTTCCTCTTCCTCCTCAGCACTACTCTCCTCTCTCTCCTCTTCCTCCTCCTCTTCCTCCTCGGCACTACTCTCCTCTCTCTCCTCCTCTTCCTCCTCCTCTTCCTCCTCACTCTCACTCTCTACATCACTCTCCTCTGAAGACTTTAAGGACTCACTTTCACACTCCTCTTCCTCACCCTTACTTTCAAAATCTGCCTCTTCCTCCTCCCCCTCCTCCTCCTCGTTTTCAGTCTCTCCTCCTTTGCTTTCTGTCTCATGACTTGACCTTTCCTCACCTTCCTCCTCCTCCTCTGCATCACCTCCTTTGCTTTCTTTCCCTGCACTCTCATCTTCACTTTCACTTCCTGCTGTCCCGCTTGCCTCCTCTTCCTCCTCCTCTTCCTCTTCCTCAGCAGCGCTCTCGTCTTCTTCCACACTCCTGCTTCTCTCCTCATCTCCATCCGTCTCCTCCTCCTCCTCCTCTTCCTCTGGCTGAAGAGTATCGCTGTCTTCGTCATCTTCTTCTTCTGAGACTTTCTCCACACTCTGGCTCTCCTGCTCTTCCTCCTCCTCCTCTTCTTCTTGTTCTTCCTCACTAACATCTGCACTCGTTCTCTGCCCCTTCTCATCTTCCTCCTCCTCCTTGACAGAGGTCGTCTGCTCCTCACTGTCATCCTGACTCGTTCCCTTCTCATCCCGTGTCTCGGACGCCGGCGTGATGTTGATGCTGACCGATGATTTGTTGCTGAAATCGGCGGCGCAGGATTCGGATTCATCGCTCCTTGATTTCCTCACGGCGTCTGTCAGGGCGCCGCGGCTGCTCTCGGACGGGGAGGACGACGGCGAGCTGAAGCGGCCTCTGGATGCCACCTCGTGCGCTAAAACCGATCCGGCCGCGAGTGCGGCGGCTCCGGCGAGCAGGCCCGCAGCTGACCGCCCGCCCTCTCTCTGAATTTCTTTTTTTGACTGAGCAGCTTTTTTGTTTTTCTCATTCTTGGATTTCTTGGACGGACCTGTGCCGTGTGTGGATTTCAGACGGGAGCTACCTGTGCTGCCGTCGCTCAGGTGGAGGCCAGGTGAGCCTTTACCTGCCGAGCTAACACCTGCATGTTTACCTTGAGTGACTGTTGGTTTGCTTTTCGCAGCTTTAGCCTGCACCTGTTTACCCGTCGCCCCTGCAGATCCCGGGCCGACACCTGAAGCTGTCTTTTTTGCATCAGGACTGTGTTTAGCGCCGGGTACCTGCTTCCTGTCGACCTCTATCAGCTGACTCTTACCCTGAACGGGCCTGTGACGCTGCTTAGACGCCGCCTTCCTGATGTCCTCTATAGTCAGAGGTCTGTTTTTACTGGCTCTCCTCTCCAGATCCCCCTCGGCCATTATCAGATTCTCTTTGTTCTGCTCGGCCCTCGGTCTCTGCGGACTCTGCGAGGCCAGAGAGCGAGCGCCGTGGCCTCTCAGGAGCTCGGTGGGTAACGCCTGGCGAGCAGAGACAGTCTCGCTCTTACGGTACGGGGAAGTCAGAGAGAAACCGCCCTGCTTCGACGGGTTTCTCTCCTCTGTCTGTCCTTTAACGGTCTTACCATGCTTACCCTTCCTCTACGCCCGGCGCCGGACAGCAGGAAGAGGATGAAAGAGAGGCATGCATTAGAGCGGGAGAGAGACATGCAGACAACACAGGAGAGAGAGAATCAGACATTCATGAGGGAACAATGGAAGAAGAGAATGAGAGGAGGCTCATCAGTGGATCAGAGATATTAGAGGACGTTAGCATCGAAGCTAACAGTAGAGAAATCAACACTGACAAATCTGTTTTAATGCTTCTAATTTAAAACATAGCAACTGATCTCGTGCTCTTTCATTTCATCTTCTAACTTATACAAGTACACAATATATTTATATACTCTATGTACTATGTGTTACATTTGATTTTACTATATGTGTATCACTAGCACATATGCTGCTGCTCCAAGAGTTTTATTCACTAACCTTTGACCCCTGGGTTCATTATTGTGTATTTCTTCTTCTTATTTTCTTGTTTTTATTGGTCTGTTTATATGTTTCTGTATAAAGTGTATTTAGCATCTTTTACTTATTTTATACATTAGCTTTAATTATTTTAAAGGCCTTTCTTCAGCACTTCGCTCAGTGTTTAAATGAGCTCTAGAAATAAAGTTTATTTATTTTATTTTATGTATGTAAGAATCATCTGCATGAAAACTAAATATTATATTTTTACAACTCAATGTTTTTTTAAATGATCAGAATCATAATCAATATAATCTATTGACAAATAAGTGTAACAGGTGACAGAGTTACCTTCTGCACTGGAGACAGGGTGAGAGATTTATCACTGGGGTCCATCTTCATCACATGTGTCTATCAGGAGGAAAAACAGGAAGGAAATGAGCAGAATGAACAGACAATAATAACCTCAGAGGTCAGAGGTCAAGTGAGGAGCAGCGTCCCTGGTGTCTCACCATGTTGAGGAAGTCTGTGGTTTCTCCCAGGCCTCTAACGCTGTCGGTGTCAGTCAGGCTCTCCACAACGCTGTCCGTCTCGGCCGCTGCCTGCGCTGACGAGGCAGAAAACAGGACACCATGTTAGTCCGATCAGGTCGGCTCTGCGCCGGACTCTTCCTGATCTGCTGGTTTGATGCAGCAACGAACAAACAACAACATGTCCTGGGCCTAAAGCCGGAGGAGACGTGAGGAGCAGGGCGAGGAGGCGGAGGTGAGGTAGGTACCCTGTCGGATCGACCCTGCGCTCCCGTGTTGGTGAGTGCCGTTGAGCACCTTCCTGTGGGCCAGCTCAGGTGGAGGCAGCCTGGGCGGGATGGTCTGGCGGGAGACGGGCAGTGGCGGGTGGAGGTAGCCGGGCGTCATGGCGGGCAGAGTGCGGAACATGGAGCCGAACTGATCTGGAGATCGCTCCTGTAGGGAAACATGAGCAGAGCGTCTGACAAACCGGGGGTCACATGGTCAATCAACCTGGACAACATATTTACATAATGTATTAAATGAGTCATGCACTCCGGCCTCCGCGCTCTCACCCTCTCCCTCCTGCGCACCCGGGCAGAGAGGCTCCTCTGCAGGGTGGAGGAGTCGGCCGTGTCCCCCAGCAGCTCCACGTACGGCTTCTCCAGGTAATCTTCTGTCACGTCGTCCTCCTCCAGAGTCACTTCACCGCGGCTCCGATCCCGCGGCCGAGCCAGCACCGCCATGTGACAGCCGCCGCACACGGCCTGGACACAAGGACACGACACACAGTTCACCGAATGGACAATTCTATACTTGAAAAATCAAACACCTGCTATTAAAAATGGCTGTATTATAAATACATATAGAAGCCTAATTAAAATACTTCTATTCAATAATACTGATAAATAAAAACACCTCAAACAAATTAATTCATTAATTAATTAAATGTGAATTTAAATTTGAAATAAAAAGATAATAAATAACAAATATACCCTTTATATTATATATATACAAAAAATTAATAAAAAGATCATAAATCAACATTAATATTCTGAAATCAAACAGAAACCAATCATCAACTGAAAAATGAATGTTAAAAATGATCCACAAAAAAATAGAAATAACATTAAAAATGTTTTACCTTTAAAACTTAATTCAAATCTAAAATGATCATGAACTGACCTGTGACCTTTACAACATTAAACCTCAGCGTTATTCTTGGTTCTACTATATAAAGAAGTGAATTCAGTGAAAGGTTAAAGGTGAGCTGAACCTACGGCCTGGACGTGGTACTGGAGGAAGCGCGGACACAGAGTCGGTTTGAACTGGTTGGTGAAGTTCTCCTCTCCCAGACACAGTTTACCGTGTCGGCCGTCTCCAAACGTGTAGAGCAAACCTGCGTCTGAGAACACACAGAACAGCGGCAGCTCCGGTCAGCGGCAGCGACACAGCGGCTGCATGGTGATAAAGTCAGGCGGCGTTTACCGGTGATGACCGCCGTGTGATTCTCTCCGCAGGCCACCTGACGGACCCGGCCCTTCTTGAAGTGCTCCACGGGACGCGGCAGCCGAGACTCGAATATAAACGTCCCGTGGCCGAGCTGCCCGAACTGCCCGAGGCCGAACGTGAACACGTCGTCCTCTGGAGGAGACAGACAGAGGGAGGAGTGTGAGGAGAAGCCGGTGTGACGGCCGGTCGGCGTCCACCTCCTGTGTCTGCTGTGTGTTACCTGTGAGCGCCACAGTGTGCCCCCCCCCACAGGCCACCTGCGTCACCGCCTCCTTGATGCTCTTCACCAGCTGAGGGACTCGGTGTCGCGGCAGCTGGTCGGTGCCCAGACCCAGTTTACCGCTGTCCCGCTCTCCGAACGTGTACAGACCTCCGTCCACTGAGACGCAGGAAAACACCTTTACAACAACTTTAATGGAATCAAATAAAGTTCCTTCCAGAGCTTTCAGCCACACCTCATGGCCTTCACCAGCGAATGGAGTTTTGATGATTAAAAACGATTCAGATCATTTTCAGGAAATCAAAGAAACACATTTGGATCCTTGAAAGTTCATTTTAAAGATTTGACCTTTGACCTCCTCCTTTATCTCTGCTCACCTGTCACTAAGGCGGAGTGGTAGTATCCACAGGACACCCAGCTGATCGGTCGTCCCACGCTGACTTCCTGCGGCGAGGAGGCGTGACTCTCCTTCCCCAGACCGATCTGACCCTCCGTGTTGTCGCCCCACATGAACAGTTTGCCGCCCTCTGTGGCGAGCAGAGCGGCCAATCAGCACATGAACGGATCAATCACAGTTATTGATCTAAACCCTCTGACAGCCGTGTCGGAGTCTCACCTGTCAGAGCAGCCGAGGTGTTTGAACCGGCAGCGAGCATTTTCATTGGTCCGTGCGAATCGAAGAAGTCCAACCGCTGAAACGCCGTCCTCTCCTCGCAGTCGCCGAGCCCCAGCTGACCCTCGCTGTTCCCGCCTGAGGCGTACACTTTTCCCTGAGCTGCAGAGAAAACACCACAGAAGAAGAAAACTAACTGAGTGAGATAGAAAAGTTTAAAACTCATCTACAACTGAATCAAGACACTGATCGGACTCCGACACTGACCGGTGCAGAGGAGGGTGTGGTTCCTTCCACAGGCCACCAGCTGAACCTTCTCACACTTCAGAGCTGAAATCATAAATAAATATCAATTACTATTATATTATAATCAGTTTTACATTTACCTTGAGTTGGGATTCATTTGTTTGTTGTTTATTTCTGTCGCTGTGACTGAAACACGACTATTTCAAAATGATCTGAAATCATCTCCCGACTTGATTTTTACTTTAATATCATTTTAAAAATCTTTTACTAAACCAAACAAAACAACAAACATCTGTTCAACGAACTTAAAGGTTTAAAGAATAAGATGAGGAGGATAATTGTATTTTATCAGCAGTGCACAGAAACCTGTTGTCTCTCCATCTCCCTCCTCCTCTGTGTCTCTAGATTAGAGCAGATTATGGACCCTCCAGACCGGGATTACACTTGTAACAAATCTCTGTGTTTCCTCTTCAGTCTCTTCCCTATCTGTTACCTTGTGCTCTATAAATATATTTACTTTGCCCATCTTCATCTCAGGGTGCTTATTACAAGCTGCATTTTGTTCATGTTGCGGCAGCATCTGCATGTGGATTTACACGATCCCCAGAAGTAACTTCCTCAAAGCAAATCAGTTTAAAATCTATCACCAGACTCCATCAAACCATCTACATCTAATACATATTTATTTCAGGTCTTAGCCTGGTCGAAGTTTCCTGTCCTGGCTGAAGGAGGCGTCTCCTCCTCTGACGGACCCTCTCCTCACTTCTCTTTGAGGAGGCTGAAGGCAGCTGTCAGTGGCAGCACTCACACACAATACTCACTCCTCTTTAGACTCAAATAGGGAACAGAGAGCTATTTAAAGACCAACCTTTGACACATGTAGGCTTGTTCACAGTCAGTTTGGATCCCAGACCGAGCTGGCCCCAGTTGTTGCTGCCAAACATGAAGAGTTTCCCATTTTCTGTGGAGACACGGAGGCACAACCTGAAAGGCTCAGCTGCTGTTTGAGATGCTTCAGCTGGAGGATTTGGTTTGAATCTGTACATGGTTGGCTATTATGCAAAAATGTCCTTGAAAAGCCAACTATTAACAAGCGTTACGTCTTACATGCGTGGTCGATTAACTCCAAACACCTAGATGAAACTTGTCAGAGTAAAACTCAAGTGTTGTGACAGTTTTCAACTCTTTCCCAGTAGCTGTTAAGGCGGTGTGTTCGTCCCCACAAGCTATTTTGAGCGGGACGTCATTTTTTAGCCAGAATTTACTGGGAACATTGTCTGCAAATTTACTCTTCCCAAAAGTGAAAACTGCTCCCGATTCTGTCAGAAAAGAAAATGAAACAAGTGAAGACAAAACTGTATTAATGACAATTCAACTATTAATTAATCTGACAAGTATTTTCTCAATTTATCAATAAATCCCATCTCTATAAAATATCAAAAAATCATGAAAATGAAACATTTTAGAAGATGGCATCTTCAAATATCTTCTCTGACCAACAGAACATAAAAAATAATCAGTTAGCTACCTCAGCTCTTCTTTTTTGCTTGAGAAATGACTTTGAACAAATAAAGTAATAATTAGAAATCAAACTTGAAACTTGAAATTTGAAAAATGAGTGATTATTAAATTTATGCGAATTGTTTTTCCTTACAAATATTTGGGAAGTGCTTCAAAGGTCAGTAAGAAGCTTATAAATGACTGTAAGTTAATTAGGTTAATTATAAAAGATGGTTCTGTAGTTGGTAAACAAACTTTACATTTCTTATCCAAAATATTGAATCTGTTAAGTTAAAAGAAACAATCAATAACTCTCTAAATTCTAAAATTAATATACCTTAATATTATTTTCACACACTCAAACAATAACTTTTCACGTTCTTATAAGTATAATCATCAGAGTTTAAAAGCCAAAAGAAAATTAATTACAGACTCGTTTCAAAGCGAACTTTTGAAACGGCTATTTCACAAAGAAGAGGCAGAAAAATATAAATAGCAGATACAGTAAAACACTGAAGCAGTCATGAGGATTATACAAGATGAAGACATAATTAACCGTCAGATTAAAGCGGAGAAAGTGAATATCAATGTTTTATTTTCGGTTAGCCGGCCGGCTAATGAAGCTAACATCAACTACCTGGACCGCTAATTAGCAGAATAGTGATGGCAAACTGACGTTTTGTATTTTAAACGGTCAGTGACGTGAAGAACTACGAGATAATTATCGTTACTGACCTGGTATCTCGTCCTCAGCCTCTCCTGCCATCTCTGCGGGATTTTAATCCGCTTTGCTCGGTGTCGTGGGCGTGTTGGTGCCCCTCTTGTTTTCGACTCGGATAACCCGGAAGTAAACAAAACGTCTCCTAGGTTACGACGCTGGCCATGTGAGTCTTAAAGGGCCAGGATGTTTTTCTAAGGGCTTCTAGATTCAGATGGTTGTTTTTTTACACAATCTTATTTTTGCATTGGAAAGTAAATACGTTTTTTTATTTAAGTACTTTACTTAAGTATAATTTAGGGAAATAATATAGGGAAATACTGAACTACATTTCTTTGACTGCTTTAGTTACTAGTTACTTATCAAATTAAATATAAAAAAACCAAACTAATAATAATGATACAAAAGCGTAATGCATTCACTTGGGAAAAAAATCTGCAGTTTTTCTGAAATAACAAGATAATTATTAATTAATTATTATTTTCTCTAAAAAAATAACATAAAAAATAAATCTAATTCAGAAAACAAGTTTTTCTCAAGTGAATGCATAAAACTTCTGTAACCCATCAGAACCAGGATAAAGTAAAAGTGAGACTGCACATGTTTCATTCATCTTTAATGTCTCTGATTTGATCCAACAGATGGTGCATTAGTTACCACATGTTCATTGATTCCAGTGTGCAGTGGGTTTGATATTTGGTTAGAACTACTCTGGATGAACCAAACAAAGGTTTACATGTTAATGCTTTAGCCTCATGTAGCTGTTGACATTGCAGCCATGGACTCACAAGTATGCAGGAAACTAAAGAATGTGTCTCTGATACAGCAAAAGACGACAAGTCCAGTCAGATATTCCGGTCCAAGAGAGCGCAGAGCTCCAGAATCTAATTCATATGAAAAATAGTTCATTAACTGTCTCAGAGTACTGTGTTTAAATCAGTGGTAAATAGTCATAAATAGTGGTAAGTAAAGACGATGAAGGAAATAAAATCAGCAGCTGAGTTTGATAAGGTTTTGCATTTCATGCCTCTATGAAGAGATGATTCAAAAATCAAAATAAAACCATATGTGCATTAGAAAATTTAAGCCACACGCCAAGACATGTGCTCAAAGGTGGCCAATAAAAGAAATGAAAAACTACTGTTCCCTTTGATAATCCTACAAGCCCAGGAAACTGTAATAGAGTTTGACAAAGCAAGGCGAAGCCCTGCGCACATACTGTTAATACCTGTGGTGTTCTCCAGCTCTCGTCCAGGACACCTGCAGTTTTTAACAATCACGATCCCACCTGGTGTCACAGTGTTTGTTGTGTTACAGAGTAAATGACAATACAATCAAATGCTTCATGCAAGTAACTGTGAAAAGTTAATTTTCAATAACTGTTGACAAAACACAACATAAATATTTTGACATTCATACAGTACATCCATGACGTAAATCTCCGTTTGTGTTTCCTTCGAGTTCAGCAAAATATAAATTATTTAGGAATAAGAAGAAAAAAAGACAAATGAATACATTTAATTTGGGGTTTATAATTTGACATCTCAAATATTTTAGATAATTGTGCATCATTCAGGCTCGACTCACTTCCTCTCTATCATCCTTTAACTTTGACATTTGTTTTGCATAAATGTGATGAAGAAATCAGTGGTGTGTTCACACCGACACTGGTTTCAACTGCACAAACAAATCAGTTGGTGTCATCGCCACTGAGATGTCCCTGCACATTTCTAATCACGCTGTTCCAATACATGACGGTTTGACTTTGTCCGTCTCAGGTGAACATCCGAGGAGTTTGGGGGCGGAGAAGGGAGGAGCAGAATCTTTAGACCTTCAAATCTTCTGGGTAAAGTTTTCAGGGAAAACACCTTTGGCTGAAATATCTTTCTTCTGAAACCACTGAGACTCCTTCACGCCCATGAGCCAGCCGTCGTCCTGCAGAGACACAACACAAACCGCAAAACGTTCAAACATCTCTCAAGTCCACGGCTCCAACACCGGAGTCCGAGGACAGATCCTCCTGGTCAAACATCACTCCAACACCAGGGTTTAGAAATAAAAGCTCATATAAAAGAGAGGAGCGGATGGTAAAGGAAGTGTAAATATAAAAGAGGAGGTAAGTTGAGTGTGTGTGTCACTGACCTGTTCATCGGGGTTGTCAAAGGCCAGAACCAGCACAACATCTCCGGTCTGCAGCTCCAGCTCGTCGCCGTCGGTGGCGGCGTAATCGTGTATTGCTTTTACCTGGAGTCGGATGAAGCCAGAAAATAAAGGTTTTAATAAAACAGACGGATGGTGCATGTTGTTTTGTTCTTGTTTTTTAACCAAAACGAGTCTCACCTTGTAGATGAATCCTGGAGGGAGTTCGCCATCGGAGCCATTGGTCACCGAACTCTGCACCAAAAAAGAAGAGACAAGCAGAATCCAGGTTTGTTATTGAGGAGGTCAAAGACATGGTGGAAGCAGCTGACGAGATGTGTAACGAAAAAAATCTGAAGTATGACAAAGAAAAGAGAAGAAGAGGTTTCTGTGAAGATTCTGGACTTCCAGGCTTTAACTTGGGGTCACTGAGGTCCCACCTGCATCCACCCAACTCTACCTGGGCCTCTTCATCATCGCCCCAGCCACCCTGTCCCACATTGGTGCCATCGTCATCCCAGTTGGGCTCGGTGTACGACTGCGCGGCGTAGACTCCGTCGTCGTTCCAGCTTTCCTGACCTTCAGCCGTCGCTGCGTCGTCCCACCCGGGCTCAGTGTAGCTCTGTGCGGCGCTTTCGTTGTAATCCCAGCCTCCCTGGACTTCCTGCGGGTACTGGCGGTCGTCACACTGCGGCTCCTGCTCTGTGGCGGTCTGCTCTTGCTGTGAGGTCGGGGTTGTGGAGCGTTGTGGTGGGTTTGGAAGCAGGAGGAGGGGGAGGTAGACGTATGGGAGTAGAGGGCAGATACAAGAGGAGCGTTGGGTGGAAAGTGTAAAATAAAGGTCACGACCCAGGGTGGTGCAGGGGATCAAGAAGCCAGAGGAGGGAGGATTTGATGAAGAAAGGTGGAGTTGGAGAGTTTACTTCACGGTCCATAAATATGGAAAATATAGAAGGAAGAGCAGGTGTGTTTTTTCCGCTCAGGTGAACCCATGCTTACCCATGAGTCCCATGACGGCGCCTTCCGCGGGGCAGTAAGAGACAAGAACACTGGTGAAAGTGTGAAGAGCTTCAAACGCTCAAAAACTCAATGTGTGTGTCTGCAGGAGTTTGGTGAAATCAAATTAATATTTGTAAGTTGAACAAAGGGGAAAAACAACGAATGAATTCTAAACTGAAATACACACCTGCCTACACCTTCACCGATCACCATCAATAACTCTGATCAGCTGACATGCAGTCAGGCCATGCAGTGGATTTATTCAAACAGAACACACACACACACACACACACACACACACACACACACACACACACACACACACACACACACACACACACACACACACCATGGACTGTGTTTACATGCAGACATTTGATTCTTTTTCTTCGTTTGTTAATTTCCTAATTTTTTTTTGGCGTAGAAACAGTCAAATGTAAAAGATCCTCTCCGTCCTCAGTGACGTCTCAGAGCAGCAGGACCCTGAACGCCCCACGTTTGTTTGTTTAACTGCAGGTGAACACAGTCCGACCCTCCAGCTCTGACTCAACACACCCACCTTGGGATCTGGTGAAACTGTGGCGGGCTGTAACACCTCCACATCCCAGTCCAGCAGGTTCACCCCTGACCAGGGCTCACACTGCTTCTCACACACACACACACACACACACACACACACACACACACACACACGCACACACACACACACACACACACACACACACACACACACACACACACACACACACACACACACACACACACACACACACACACACACACACACACACACACAGTTACGGGGGGTTACTATCTGGGAGAATGAGCTCTGTAGATGTGTTCCTGTTTCATTGATCATTGGATTATCATTAAGCAGAGTTCCAGTGGCAGGATCCACGCTCCTCGTCCCTGCTGACTCAGTCTTGAACCTTCATATCTGTTCTACAGATGTTTCTGACTGTATACAGATGTTACGACTGATGATTTCAGTGCTGTATGTGGAGGTGGTCAGTCGGTCTGACCTGCTGTGTCGTCGTGCTTGTGGAGTCTGTGTTAGCTTCTGGCACCGAGGCGTCCTCCACCTCCTCCTTCTCCTTCTCCTCCTCACACACGCCGACGTGCTGCTGCTGCTGCTGCCGCCGCTGGTCCGGAGACGGCGTCAGTCTCGGGGGAGGCCGACTGGGAGGAGGGCCGGGCCTCTGCACCACCAGGAGGGTTAAAGCAAAACCACACAACACACACACAAACACAGACGTGCACACATGCAGAGCAGTGACGCAGACAGAGACGTGTTAGTACACAACATGATGGATGATGAGTGTGTTATATCATGTGTTTGAATTCACTGTCCTCCTGAAAGTTTAAGAGGCAGCAGCTCTTCTCTGATGCTTCCTGTTTCACCTGTATCCAGGTGCTCGATGTCATTTAAAGACGTCAAGGCGACACATCATCAGGTGGTTAATGTGTGATTTGGTGTTTCTGTTGTTGTGTTTTACCTTTGGTGCTGAGCATGCTGATTCACTGTGGTTGGCTTCGTCACTGAGGGAAAGAAAAAGAAAATGAGGCCGAGGAAGAAAAGGAAAATCGAGGGTGGATACGAGCGTGAAAACAGGGAGAAAGAACTGATGGAGGAGAGAAGAGGGAGAGTCAGCAGATGAAAGGAAGTGTCACATCTCAGAAACATGGCCGACACATCACTCAGAGCAAAACATGCATGTGCACGTGCACGGCACGAACAGAGAGTTATTGTCAGGTAGAAAAATCTCACAGCAAATAGGTCTGATTTTATTCTGGAAAATATTTTGATTTTATTCTTGTGAAATTTGACTTTCTTGTTTAATCACAACTTGTTTCTCAACAGTTTTTGTTCTCAAACATTACAACTTGTAAAATACTCCCTACTTTCCTAAACACTCTTATTTTGAAGGGTTTATACTGAAGGAAGGTACTTTCTTCATGGAACCAAACCTGAGCGTCTGGACTTTAAATTCCCTCGCAGCCACAAACCAACAGCAGCAAAGTGAAAAACATGCTCAGCCAATGAGGAGCCAAGAAGATTGAAGCAGATTTTTACCTCTTCGCACCGTCTCCTGTCTTGGCTGCCGCAGTACCACCTTTTCTGCAGCAGGGGGCGGGTGTGAGGGACATTACTCTCATCTGTTTTACATGGTGAATATTTTAAATCTAAAGCGTTTGAACCATGGAAGGATTATCTGACAGGCCTGCAGGGGACAGGCCCCGGGGACCAAGTGGTGAGGGGCCCATGAACCAGAGCTTCTTACAAGTTTGACATGACTTAACATTTTTTGGACGGGTAATCAAAGGGCCACGAAGAGACACAGGCTCTCAGGGGCCCTTTGTCTCATAATCCGTCCATGGCTTCATCTAAACAACTGTGTGTGTGTGTGTGTGTGTGTGTGTGTGTGTGTGTGTGTGTGTGTGTGTTGACTTACTTGAGCTGCCGCTGCTCCTCCAGTTTGGTCATGATGTCGTTCAGGTTTTGACTGAGCTGCAGAGACACACAGAGCAGATAAATATCACTGATCTATCAAATATACTCAATCAATCAATCGGTTCCATCAGTTTGATTGACTCACCTTGCCCATTTCTCTGTGAAACTTCTCCTGATGACCTGCCAGGCCCTGGAATGTGTTAACATAGACGCCAACACGACTGCGCACGCACACACACACACACACACACACACACACACACACACACATTTTGAAATATTTGGATCAAGTCGTCACAGAAGATTTTGTTGAGTTCAGTCTAAAATGAAAACGTGTCTCACTTGTCCCACAGTGCTGGAAGCTCGTCTTGTAACTCCACGTTCAGCTCCTCAAAAATCTTCTGAGCTCGACCCAGCTCTTCCTCCGCCTGCGCGCGCGCACACACACACACACACACACTGAGTATATCAATCTATACATCTACTGTGTGTCTGTAATCCACATGGTTTAAGACAGACAGTTTTCCATGAGCACACGTGCATGCAGACAAACACACACACAGGGTTTAATAACTACAGACATGTGAACGCTGTGAGGCGTTCAAATGCTCAGACACAACAAGACTGTAAACAGCAGTTCTGTTTGGGGGTCAGATTATAGTGAGGCTCTCTACACATGATGAGCAGCAGACTCAGGTGACCACAGACCACCTGCCTCAACATCATAAAGGTCTTCTTCCTGTTGGACACTGTCTCAGTCCGACGGTTGTTCACGATATAATGAACGTTTTCTTTAAGTCTGACACACAGCGAGGTCAAAGACTGACACCATTAAAGTGAATGAGAAACTGTCCTCAGACTTCTGGACCCAGTGTTTCTTCTCAGTAAAATCAGTTAATTCTCACGTCTTCTGGACAACACCACATTACGACATCACGTATATTGTAAATGTAAAATATATAGTTTATAAAGAACAATAAAATCCCAAATAATAAACTAAACTAACTTCAACGTTGTCACGTTGTAAATAAGCCGCATTATAAGGCCAGGGCTGGAGGTTTCCCGCCGAGCAGCGTTAGTGATTACTTAGTGATTTCTCGCGAGACTTCGTGACTTTTAAAACCCCGTAGCTACTTTTCTTCATAAAAGCAGCTAGTGACATGTAGAGACTTTCTGGACAGACTTCATGTCCTCTCCTCAGTGAAGAAGATCTGATGCGGGACAGAGCAGCAGCACTTTCAGTCGACCAATCAGCAGCCAGACAAAGACGTGAACGGCCGTACCTGACGACCCCATTGATTTTATTCTAAACGGAGGTTTTCTCCTGAGATACATTAGAATTATTGCTAAAATAGTGTCGGCCGATATAATCACATCATATTATTATAGTAACTACCTGATGGAGAATCATACATAAATATCCAACATTAATATTCAAACCAAATTACATAAATGATGAAAACAGAGAAAACAGCAGCTTGAGTCAGGAGTCGCAGCCTACGTACCCACGCGCGTGTACGCTCGCTGCAACGTGCGTAGGCACGCAAGTATGCGTGAGCACGTTGCAGCAGCGTTTAGATCCTTTGAATTAGCTACGTCAGATTCTAGATTGCTCATTGTTTTGCCTTTGATCAGCTGCATCAAAGGCACAGGTATGTGAAGGAAACCAACAGTTTTCCTGCTTGTTAGTCATTGTACTCAAGACCTCACCAGAGACACACACGTTTCTCAGAGCATCCACTTTCAAGATACGTTTTCTTCTGTGATGGAGAACAGTTCATGTCAAGACTCAGCGGCTCCTGTTCTTGGAGCCATTCCCAACTTGTCCACTGCTCGTCCCAGTGGATTCACTTCTTTCCCCCCTGGTGTCACACGAATCCTTGTTCAGCCAGGCCCCTCTACAATCATCCTGGAGTTACCAAGAGGAGAGTTTGATTCTCCTGCCTGCAGCTATCAAGCCACATCAGAGAAGACCACCCACTCTGCTGACTCTCCTTCCTCTGGCTTTGAAGCCATCGTGGAGACCGTGGACCAGAACAAGCTGTTTGTCACCCTGCTGACCCTGAGACTGCTCCAAAAGTGCAGTGTCCTGGACATCTGCACGGAGGAAGAACTGGCCACCTACGCCAAACACCTGGTGAACCGAACACTGCAGGGACTCACCGTGAGAGACGGTTTCTGCCCTGATGAAAAAGACATCAAAAAGATCTGCAGGGCCGTCATCAAGGATCTCACCAAGAAGCTTGGCGGGAAGAGCTCTCTGAACTTTGTGATGCTGTCTGAGCAACCAAGCGTGGATGCGGTCATCGTCAACACACTACAAGTCAACATCTCAAAGTACTCGACTGTGTCTGCAAGCAAGAAAACACGTAGATGGAGAGAACTCCTGTGGCCTGCCATGAATGTCATCACTGTTTGTGGCCTGTTCTTCTTGGCCGCAATCTTTCTGTAAACTCCTGAAGGTGGCACGGTGGTGAAGCGGCTAGCACTGTTGCCTCACTGTTGCCGGTGTCAAAGGACAGGCTAATGCTGGTGAACAGCCCTGGCCTGTCTCCTATCACTAGTTTACACTGTGCCACACAGGGGGGAACTGGGCTCACTGGTGGTTCTGGCCTCGTTACTGAAGCCAGGACCACCACTGGACCCAGTTCCTCCCTGTCCTGGCGTGGGTTTCCTCCGGGTGCTCCGGTTTTTCCCACACTCTAATTCAAACTCTAATTTGGACAATAAAATCATTCAATTAGATACTTTTGATTCCTGAATGGACTTCTTCTTAATTATAATCATATGACATGACATATATAATATATCCTAATCATATTTTTCCATGTTGAATATTGATCATACAGTGTGAGTGTAACTTATTTTAAATCTTAATCTGCAAAGAACATTTTAACTCATTTAAATGAAGAAAATATAATGGAGAAAAAGTTCAATATTTTCCTCTGAAATATGAAGTAAAGCACAAAATGTTTAAGGAAAATCTTAAAGGTGTTTGTGCAATGGTTTAACTGACTTTAAGTGATTTCTTAAATATGAGACCAAAATAATAAGAAAACCTCAAATACTAAAGTGAGCATTTTAAGGAAACCTTAAGGATGAAATTAAGGGTCTTTCTTACAACTATTTTTATTTGAAGGAAACTTTAACTCAGACCTTAAGGAAAATCTTAACAGAATTAAGTTTACTATTTTTTTTTATTTTGAAAAAAGTCTTCATTTACCCAGAATTCAGTGTACCACAGTCCAGCTTAAGAACTAAACTGCAGAAGAATTTAAGTGTGTATCAGAAGTCTGACTGTTGTTCCACCTACGACACAGTCGACGTCTGTCTTTGTGAAACCGGCCCCAGGTGGGCGTCAGCCAGGCATCTGGGGTTTTGAACCTCTGACCTTTGAACCCTTGTATCTCCAGAGAAGGCGACTTACTGGGAATCACATGCACATCACATTCACACACCTGCACACAAGTTGAGGTAATGACATCACATGTGTAAAAAAAAAAACGGGATAAAAACACTGAGTTATGACCCTGGATGTTCATTAGCGCCCCCTAGAGGCAGAATATCATGTGTAGAGAGCCCACAGGGGGGGTGGGGTGGGGGGTTGACAGTTTTGGGTTGAGGAGGAGGAGGAGGGGGGGGGGTCAGCGATGAACCAGAGTTTCACCTGGTTGTAGGAGAGGTTAGTCTGAGCCACCTGGTGGGCTGATATCAAACCCTGAGCCCAGCTGGGAGCCGCCATCTCCAACAAGGCTGCTGGCTAACCACACACACCATGCAAGAGAGAGAGAGAGAGAGACAGAGAGAGAGAGAGAGAGACAGAGAGAGAGACAGAGAGAGAGAGAGACAGAGAGAGAGAGAGAGGTGGAAAGAAAAGGAAGATTTGGTGTAAAACAGAGACAAAGACAAAAGCAAACAAGAACAATTCAAGACAAACGCAAAAATGTTAATTAGCATTTAGTTCATGTTCCAGCTGCCAGTTTTGATTAACACAGACGTGGGTTCATCAGCAAACAGACTGCAGGTTAAGGTGGTATGAACTGTCCATGCACCAATAATAACCAATACCACCTTAAAAAGTCAGAAATATTCCTTCAAACTTCAGTATAAAGCACCACACACACAAACAATTCATTAAATTACAAAACTGTGGATGGACACACAAACACACACACACACACACACACACACACACAGTCATGGTCACCTTGGCGATCTTGGCCTCGTCCTTCTTCTTCCCTTTCTGTAAGGAGGCGAAGTGATGCCTGGCGCTGTCAAAGTCCACCATCTTCCTGTCGCGCTTCGCTATGCGAGCCTGACAAAATATATTACAGAATAAAAGCCTTTTCTTCAGCACCACAAACACACATTCTTTGCCACAAATCATTGTTTACTTTCTAAATATTTACAGGAGGCTATCCAACCAAAACCTTTCAAAATAAAACTCAAAATTACACACACAGAATAGAAACATACTGACCTTAATGTCAGGAAACTGAGTCAGGTACGTGTCCAGACACACCAGAGATTTGTCGGTGATGTTCTGGTGGTAGTCTAACCACAGAGTGTCTGTGTCCTGAAACACACAAGCCAACACCACCATTTATAAACCCACTGCTCCACCACTAACACCAGCGTACACTGTGTTTTCACACTGCTGCACTGAACGACAGGTGATCCGATCAGACAGTCCAGTTTTATCTGATGTTCAGAGCCAGAAAGCCTGGTCAGTGCAGTCATGTGTACAGTCCAGCAAAGTGAAAACATCTCTACCAGCTATGACACAGCTCCACAGTGAAGACGAGAGTCTGCTCTACGACAAACTCAACATGTCTACTTCCTCTACTGCAGAGCTGAACCAGTGTTCCCCACACGCTGCATCACAAAGCTGCTGCTCGGTGGGATACACTGGAAGCTTTCTGCATTTTACCTCCAAGTTATTGTCCATCTCCTTCTCTATCATCTCCTTCAGGGCGGAAGGAGAGAGGCATGCAGTCGAGAAAAACAGAGTGATAGCAGGTAGGAAAAGAAGGAAAAAGACATGGGAGAATGAGCCACGCCTCTTCACACACACACGCTGTTTAAGATGAACGACAAGGAAGCATCAACATCAGACTCTTCAGACTCGATGTGAAAAACAAACATTTTCCTCGACTTTCCTACAGTTTTCAAATGTACAAATCCTCCTTTACGTCACTTAACGAGACGAGCTAACGGACAGTTTCTGGATTGCAAGCAGAGACCAGCCGAGGTGGAAGCAGAGGAAGGAAGCGTGAACTCACCTCTGCCAACGTGTCCATCTCCTCTTTGCCAAACCAGTCGGGTTCGTACATGTCGGCCAGACAGTCCTGCAGCCGCCGCGACGCATCGTGCAGAGCTGAAACACAAACGCACAGAAAGATGTAGGTCTGTATATCATATCTTAACGAGGTAACGAGTGACTGACAGGTTGTAAAAATGAAGAAAACTTCAAATAAAAACTTTAGATTTACACCTTGTTCTTTATAAATGTTGTCTGTTCAGCACAGTCGTCTTTTGACTTTATGGTGAATTCATCCAATATGGAAATATGGAGCGAGGCAGGTCAACGACATTATCTCTACATATTGAAAACACTGGAATCAGCCCATGAAATAATCGTGTGTGAGTTTTAATTGTGGAAGCTGAACTTTAAAAGCTGCACCAGGTGAAACGTCACTTCCTGCCTCGGTGCTTTAATCAGAGTCGACCATCTAAACACGACACAGACGCCCACAAACACACTCACTCTTCACTGCCGTCACGTAGGCTTTCAGGTCTTTCTGCAGTTTGGTGCCTTCTGCCTGAAAGAGCAAAGAAAACACGATGAAGATGGAGATGGAGATGAAGATGGAGGACTGAGCTAGAATAACAGAGATCTGACACTTTTCCATTTCAACAAAAATCTATTTCATCTGGACATTTTATGGCTTTCTGTTAATCCAATCTAATTTCCTCCAGTGACCTCTGTGTAATGAAACCTGCTGTAAGGTAACATGTGACAGGTGACATGAGCTACTTGTCCTGAAACACGAGTGAACGGAGAAAAAGAAAACGGCTCCTGACCATCTGCTTGTTGAAGTTGGCCAGCATCTCCTCGAAGGCAGCATCTCGGGTCTCGTCTGCTTTGCCGAGCTTCTGCAGAACCTGCGGAGGAGACGAGACACAGGTACGACATCAACCGTGTGCTCTCATTTCACTCCAGGTGCTTTGTTCACATCTATAACTGGAGGCGTGGATTCGTCTATTTTCAGGCTGCCTGTCAGAGCCATGTGTCTCCAGTGTCTGCAGCGAACACCAGCTCTCTGTGTGTGTGTGTGTGTGTGTGTGTGTGAGGATATGGAGGTTAAAGGTCAAAGCTTCACTGACCTGCTGACACATGTAAAGAGGTCATTTACAGTATGACAGGAAAAATGCTGCTCTGTCAAAATAAGAGTTTGATTATTTCAGAAATGTTTTGACCAAACTTCACTGATGAGACGCAGGTGGAAACAGAGGCAGAACCTCACAGTCCTGAGATCAGGTCTGATCAGGTCACATGATTAAAACCACCCGTGTGATTGGTCCAGAGATCAAGATATTTTCAGTACATTACTTTTATATTATTTGTTATTACACGTTATAATTTCATTATACTATTTTGTTAATCTTATTAATGTTGTATCTATTTTTTACATTCTTTAAATTTTATAGGTTATTTTTATACTTATTTTTTCATTTGTAGTTTTTGTTTTCATTTTTTTTTTAGATTCGAAATTCTTTTCTTTCTTTTTCCTTTACATATTTTATTCTGTATTAGATTGTCTTATTTTTTACTTTTCATTTTCATGTTGAATGTTATTTTATGATGTTGTAGCAGTCAGATTTCAGTATCATCAGCTCATTTTGTCATCACTGATATCAATCATCACATCTGCACATACAGTACTTCATCTGCGTCTCACCGACTCCAGCAACTGATGGAGGGATGAGAGACAGAGGAGAAATCCAGAAGTTGGTTTTGTGGTTGTTAGTTGGACAAGGTCACCGGTGACTAATCTGATCAGATGACTGACTGCGAGCACATGGACGAGCCTCCAACACCAACACCACCACCACCACCACCTGCCGCCCTAATCCTGTGACGGATACACAAACCACCATCAACATGTCGGAGGGGACTTCCCCACTGCTGCAACACACACACACACACACACACCTGCTCAGTGAGCGTCCACACTCAGTCCATTTATAGCTTTTACAGGAAATACATCAACCTACTTTAGTACAAGTTTCATCAGCTGAAAGCTTTGAGACTAAAAACACTCGTTCTGCTGTGAAATGATAGATCATCATTATTGACTGTTAACACTGTGGGAGCTGCTTTACCTACTTTATATACAGGTAAGTCCAGGACGAAACTGTACATATAGTAGATAAGTGACCAACCTGGGGGTCGGGCCCCTCCACAGGGTCACCAGATAAATCTGAGAGGTCGTCACATGATTCATGGGAGAGAAAGGAAGAAAAAACAAAGCTCAGTTTTTAGATTTTTCTCTAATCTTTGCTTCTTCTTTTTTTAAACATTAGATAATTCGACCAAAATGCACCAAATAAATAAAGCTTATTGTATTTGTTATTATTAATTAAACACAGGTTTTTAAATTCAGCTGTAGGCCTGAGTTTGGACGACACAGCTGACGTATCCTCTGTGGCGTTCACTGTCACGTCATTGTGCTGCAGTCAGATGTTTCGTGGTGCATTCAGGTGATCCTCCTTAAGTCTGGAAAGATCACGTGACCATGACATATTCACCTGTGCATTTATGTGTTATTCATACTGTAAATTCAGGTACAATAGAACAGTGTGTGGAGTAGGGCACCACTGTAGTGTGTGTGTGTGTGTGTTCACAAAAAGCCGTAGCTGCCGGTGTTCAATTTCAACCCCCAAAAATACACACACCAGTTTGTGGGGTATTAAGAGTGATGAGAGGGAGGCCAGGGGGAGGGAAGGGGGGGCTATAGATAGATACACCCTCCCCACACACACAGACACACACATATCTGAGCCCAGCCCACAGCAGTGAGGCATGCTGGGAGTCCAGGGAGGAAGGGACAGGTGTTCAGGCCAAGCAGGGCAACTTCGAGGTTTGATAATTTTGGATTCGAGTTACTGAACTTAGAGAGTTGTAAAAATATCTGCTCTTTCTTTTTAGTGTTGAGAACGTGTTCATTTTTCATAAAGTCCTACTTTTTACAGTGTTGAGTTACTGACTTTATATTATAAAACTAATAATAATGTTGTAGACTTTCAAAGAACAGAAAATATATATTTCTTTAGACTGTTATCTGTCATATCAGCCAATAAAATAAAAATGTATACAGTATAATCTTTCAGGATATTGGAGGCTGAATTATGAACTGCCTTAAATGAAATATCTTTTATCTTATGTTTATATTACTGTTATATATTTAAAAGTAGTGTGAATATGAGAAAACAAGACTATATAAGATTATATAATTTTCAAAGTAAATTATATAAGTAAGGGATGGGGGGGTAGGTTGAGGATTTTGGGGGGTAAGACCTTTGGGTTAGTGTCATGGGGTCCTGCCTCTTTGACTCCCAGCACCACACCGGGTCTCCAGCTGCTTTCTAAAGGGCACCACCTCCTCCTCCTCCTCCTCCATCACAACCACTCTCATCTGGATTCCTCCGAGGGAAATCTTCCCAGCATGCTCAGCAGCACAGCTGACGTTACGACCACGGTGACACCCAGAGGAGGCTCGGGATTATTGTGTCAGCTGGTCTGAATCAAATGATATCTTACAGTGAAATATGAAGCTGCCTCAGCCTGAGCGGCACAAATGTCATCGATTACTCATTCATTCATTTCAAACTGAATCCCAAAGGCTACTCATTACTTCAAAAAGTAATCAGATTACTGTGACGCGTTGCTCATTATGTTGAGAAAACGACACAACACTAGTGGCGTCATGTGACTCTAAGATCCCACAGAAAATAAGTGCAGTAAACTCACCCCTCTGATAAAAATCACAACAGTTGCAGGTTAGCAACCTCTAAAGCTGCACTATTTTTACGTTAACAATGGATCGAATGACAGTGTAATGTGACAGCTGCTGGCAATGAACCCACAGAGAATTTTCACCTGAGCTGAATGTGCAGCTCCGCAGAGTTTGCTCGCCTCTTTCAGCTCATTAATTTAGTTTGACAGTCACTCGTCTTTTCAGAGAAAAAGCTGCGTAAAGCCACTGTCCACTGACCCGGGAGGTGGTGGAGACCAAACACAGAGCTAAAAGAGAGGAAACACTGGACAAAAAAAACTAATCATATGATGAGAATAGTCACATTTTGTTAGGGACTCGTAAAAACCCACGTAAACATGAACGAGCTCAGTGCTGCTGCTCAGATTTTTTAAAAACAGCCTCATCTCATTGTGAACCTCCTGCTGCTGCTGAGCAGGTCGGAGGCGGCAGAGGAAAGAGTGAGAGAGTGTGGAGTTGAACGAGGTGAGGGGTGGAGGGCAGCGTGCCAGCAGACAGACAGCTGAAGCCGGCTCTCCCCCTCCTCCACCTCCAGCGGCCTTCACAGGGAAGATGATACTCTGACCTTCCTCTATGCTACCAGCACTCCAACCTGAACGCCTCAGTATCGCCTCAGAGTTTCTGTCACACTGCCTCCAGAATGAGGCGTTTTTCTTGCTTTTGACAGATAAGAAACGTTGAATTCCCTGTGTGCGATCCCTGGAATTCAAGGTTTTGAGATATATGTCAATGCCTGTTAACCTGGGCCATAGACAAGACTTTAGAAATACTGAGGTCATATCTAAATTCCACAAGTTATTATGTCACAATAACCTCCAAAAATCTCCATATATATGGCTATTGTCTGGCTTTTAATGCCTTTAAAGTAGCACTATCTACAAGCTTCCTCATAATGTTGAGGGTTTGAATCCGAGCAACAACCTCTGAGATCTGTTACCAGGGTTTCTGTCAATCTTTTTTTTTTATAACATCGACACATTCTTTTTGATCGGCAACAATTTTCCATCTTAAATTAATAATAACATTCTGACAAATTCTGGTGAATAAAACTTCCTAATATTCCCAGCAGAGAGCTCAAACTGTCCTCAAAACACCAAGCAGATGTTCCAAATCTTCCTCCAGGGAATCCTGGTAAAAAAGGGAATGCATATTTCACTTCCCTCCAGGTCTGAGAGCAAACTTCTCCTACATTAAGGACATGGGCTTTTTCATTCAGCAGTGAGCTGCAGTGGCAGCAGCTGCTATTTAAAGTTCATTCAGGTGCTCCTGAGATGATTGATCGGGCTCGGCAGACAGGAAGCAGCAGGAAGACAGACCAACAAACAGGAAGTCGTTCACTGCAACGGTCCCACAAACCTCAACACTCTGGCAAATGAGCTTACTTGCTCTCTATCTAAAGTGAGATGGTGATGAAACAGGTTCAGGTTAGTCATGTAAAATAGTTGGTTAATGTCAGGGCTCAGGGTCCTGCATAAAAGCCAGATGTGCTACACATCAGTCCACCACCCTGAACTCCACACCCCCCACCTCACCACACACAGAGCACAACACTCACTGTCAATGGATGCAAGCATTGTAGATGTAATTAATATGGATGCTGGTTGCCAGGTTCGGTGCCACGGTGAGACTGAAATCTGTGCATTAGCTGGAGATGCTGCACATAAGTAGAGGGCGGATGGATACACTGATGTTTGTCAAGAAATAGTTCCAGCACCTATATGTCTGATGGTTAAACGACAACAACATACATGTTGTTAATGAGCGCGCTTTCAGGGGTGTTGAAACTGCAGGTGAATTGTTGCAGCTTCCTCCTGATTTAAACTAACTATTTGTAAATTTGTGCTATCGCTACATAGCTAACGCTAGCATTAGCAGCTGTTAACTCACCAGTGTAGAAGAGTTCAGCATCAAACTTCATTCCTTTACTCACCAACAGCTGTCTCCAGCGGTGGAGGAGCAATGACAGAGTTAACTCTTGTCTCTATCACGTCTTTTCTGCTACTGACGTCAGCATGCTAACCAGCTAGCCCCGGCCCGCCTGAACACTCGGCTAGCGGCTCACTTTAGCCTCCAAACTGCCCTGGAGACGTGGCGCCGCTCGGAGGACGTATTATAACCTCTTGTCTTATAGAGACAACATGGCTGAAGTTCTTGTCAAGCGACAATCACCACCACCTGCTCCCGACAAGAAAGCAAGTTCGGCGGCAGAGAAAACTTACAAACATCCCTTTTCAGCCTTTAAGATAAATTAAGCTAAGCTAAAATAAGCTAATGCACACCTGACTTCCGTACAGAGCATACGTAACACACAGACTCCTCGCGCTCGGAAATAAATAAACATATCTCCCAATTTAACAACTCTTACGGAAGCGTAAAATCTGCTATTTTTTCTGAATTATTTCAGAAAAACTGGATTTTATTTTATTTATTTTCTATTTTATTTTTTACTTTTCTCTAAAAAATAAAAATTACAAAATAAATACAAAATCCTGCTTTTCTGAAATAACGTGATAATTATCTCGTTATTTCAGAAAAACTGGATTTTATTGAATTTTTTTTGGAAAACTTTTCTCTTAAATAAAAAATCCCGTTTTTTAAAACAGCAGATTTTTTTTGCTTAAGTGAATGCATTACGCTTCTGACATGTAGCAGAAAACAATAATTTATTTTATTCAAATCCGTTTGAAGAAAATATAACTTTTTTTAAAAAATTTAGAAATTAAGCCAAGAATGTGCAGCTGCCACCAGGAAGCGGAGCGGGGTGGAGCGGGGTGGAGTGGGGTGTGGGGGGGTCTGTTCTGGGTTTAAACTGGAACACACAGACCGACCAGTAAACACAGAAACTAACAGACTGGTTTAAAAGGTAAATCTCCTCCTGGTGTTGTACTGAGGTGATTAGAGGGTAAAACCTCGGCAGGCTTAAGCAACAAGAGTGATTAGGACAATAATAACTCAGAGAGAGACACAGAGCTGGACACAGACTGTTGATCAGGTTTCATTCAGTCACTTTTAGAGCTCCTCTGCAGCCTGATGGAGGAGCCATGTTCAGGTTTTACTCTGGTTAGTGTCTTTCTTTACATGTGTCAGAGCTGTGGCTGTTGTCAGGTGACTTCCTGTATCTTAGGTTCCTTTTAATAAAGTTTTAGTGGAACAAACAGGAGTAAAGCAGCAACACGAATCATGATCACACCTGATTTTAATACTAAACATGTCAAGGAAGAACGATTTTCATTGGCCCCCTCTAGTGGAAAACCTCAGCCCTGCAGCTGGTTTCAGGACCAGTGTCTTGCTCAAGGACACTTCAGCAGAGTGCTGAGCCTCTGATCAACCCCCCCACCACACACACACACACACACACACATACAATGAAACAAGTGCCAGATTGTTTTATTTTTAAACTGTGCAGGAAACCCAATTAGAAAAGGTTAAAACAAAGTTAAGGGATTTTTCAGAATACTTCACTCATGAGGTACTTTCCCCTTAATTTACATACAAATCCCTTATGATTGTGAGTTTGCAGCACATTTAAGGGTTGAAATAGCATGAAAAACAAACTTTGCACCTTAAATGATTTTTAGATTAGATTAGATTAGCTGTGGTTTACTTGTTGACACATGGTTGATGTTTGGGGTTAAGGTATGAGGTGGGGATAATACCCCTTAAACTACACTGAAAAGCCATTAAAATGATCTTAAAAGATAAAAATCCCCTTGAAGTTTCACCATGATCAAACAATTAAGGCCCTTTTTACTTATTTTATGAAACTGAAAACTACAAACTGTCAGTAACGTCATGGTATTTTAGGGATTTGGTTTAGGACACTTCATGACACTTATTTAAGGTGGTATTAATGGGTTTTCTGCCCAGTTTTAAGATGGAAAACTGAAAGACAGTCTTGAATTCAGGTGTGAACTCACGGTTGGTTTTGTGTCTTGTTAAATGACACAGGGCGGACCCCTCATTAGAAGTCCAGGTAAAGGTGAATTCAATTTTAAGGAGACTTGTCCATTAAAAGCCTTTGAGATACTTCGTTATATCACAGTCTATTAATGATCCCATTAAGAAGCTCGTTTCCAGCAGCATTAACTGCTGAGTGAAGTTGTGTCTGAAGGTAAAATGTTGAGGGATCCGGTTACACAGCGGCAGTGGGACACCGTGTCCCGCTGCTATGTGAGCCTGGTCTTACCTTCTCCTGCGCTCTGGTGAGTCTCTTCTGGACGTTGATGGCCAGTTTCCCGGCGGTGACCCCTTTCCCTATCTCGGCCATGTCGCGAGGTGTGGCGGGCTCCCCGGTTAGTGTCAGGACCAGCGAGGAAGAGGAGAGGCGGAGGGAGAAATGGAAACCGACGGTGCGTAAAACCCCTCCGGAGGGCGACTTGGCTCGCTGCGCGTAACTCTAATCCCGGTGACAGCTTCTTAAAGGTGCAATGCGTAATTTAATCCGGGTTATGTGTGGCAAAACAAAACAAAAGAAAACAGAAAAGCAACAAAAAGCAGGTGGAGTTTGGTGAAGAGCGCAGAGGACCAGACTCAGAAATCGTCCCGTTCTCGGCTCTGACTCTTAATTGATGGAGACTTGAGCTGGATATGGAGAGATATTATGTTTCCTCCTCAGTCATCCTCTTAAAGGCGCAGCAGCCTGTTATTATTAGCAGACAACTGTTGCATACATGCAACTGGTGTGTCGCTGTCTTTACGCGCGGCTTTATTTATGCGCACAGAGCTCTTTCCAGTCAGATGTGAGGGCTAAATCAGTCCTGCCCCCCCCCCGGCACACACATTCATCAGCTGCAGACACACAATGACAGACATGAAGCAGAGGGCTCCTGCTTTTCGAACAGGGAGCCGGTAGATGTCAGTGAAGGCGCGTTCACGTGCCAACAGGTGACCCACACCTTCATCACATCAGTGCGACAGAAGAATGAAGCGACACGCGGCTCATTTCCACATAATTTAATTTCAAAAATAAATCTTTTTAATATCTCTACACCCACAAAACTTCATGAACATCACTGGATTTCCTGTAAACAAACACTTAAATACACTCTATCATTTTCTCTAAATCTCTGTATTAAAGCGGGAAAGTTACAAACAACTTATTTACAAAGAGCACAGCATCCCTGTGGACACTAAAACTAAATCCCCTTTTTTACCTTAAATTCCATTAACTGGCTTTTAATATATATTATAATATTGTTAATGGGTTATCAGCTTGGTTTAAGGGCTTCAAGGTGAAACACCTTTAACACCTGACTGACGGTTGGGCTTTTGGTTCATGTTCAGGTGCAAATGAATGAAATTTGAATCCAGGTTTTTAAAAGGTTTTTCCAGATTAAGGCTAAATTCATTGATAAATTCACATATTGTAATATATTAAGGGTTTACCGTTTGGATTAAGGGTTTTTTGTTGTTGTTGATTAAAGTAACATTAAAGCCATTCTTTAATTTACAGTTTTCCTTAAAAGTGCCCTAGTTCATTAACTGTCCATTACTTTAAAATCCCTTAAGATGTCTTTTATTTGAACCTGAAAATATCTCAGACCTCTAATGAAAACTAAAATCCCAACCTTAATAACACCTTAAATTAATAATTACTATGTAATTTAAGGGGAAATCCATGCACCACTTAAAAGCCAATTAAGTTGAATGAATGGCTTTTAAATGAAGGTGTTTTGATGTGTTTAGTTTTTTAACTTAATGGACAAACTCCAGGATCTCTGGCTCCTTATCTTAAGATTAAGGTGCTCGGTTCATAAATTAAGGGATAATTGTCTCAGGTTTGAAGTGAAGCGTGTGTTTGAGTCTTTCTCACTCTGACTCGTATTCTCTGTCTGTTCCTCTGTGTCCGTTCACTCCGTCTTTTTTCCCATCAGGCCTCAGCAGGAACCCAATCGTCTCCGGTCCTGTCAGCGCCTTCATCACGGTCCTGTTCAGCTCGACAGGCTTGTGTTTGGGGTCCATGTCCGCCACACGGTGAGGGGGGGTTCAGGTTCCTGTCTGTTCGTTTTTACCTGTTCCCCTCCCTCACCTGTCGTCCTGGGCCACGCCCAGTGGATGGAGGCGTCCTGAGTCCAGCAGCACCCCCCCCAGCCAGTGTAAGAGCTGCGAGTACCAGTGGATCCCATCAGTGTGGGGTCCGGTGGTCCCGGTCCAGCTGTGCAGCAGCCTGAGGGGGGAGAAGGCCCAGTGAGCCAGGGAGTGCTGGTCCACCACGGCGTAGCAGGACGCCACCACCCCGTCCACCACCACCGTGCCCTGCCGGGTCAGCGGCGCAAACGCCCCCCTCCTCTCCCTCAGGCTGACCCGGGTGACCCGAGACAGACGCCCCTCTCTGTGCCTCTGTCCCGGTTTACCCTCCGACACCAGCACACACTGTCCCGGCCGGGCGTCACTGGCGTACACAGTCCTGAGGGCGCCATGGGCCGGCACCGCCCCCTCTGAGCAGTTCCCCTCTGATACAAACACCAGGTGGGCAGCGGTGAGCGAGAGCTGTGCCCCGGATTCTGTCTGCAGGGTGTAGAAGAGTTTTGGGGTCACGGGGTCACGGTCCAGGAAGGTCAGGACTTCGCTGTAAAGCAGCTCCCCGCTGCCGTCGCTGCCCGTCGAGGCCAGGACTCGATCACCGGGCCGCAGGTCGCTGATGGACTTCTGACCGCCGCTCTCCAACGTGACCAGAGCCGCGCCGGGGAAACAACCTCCAGACTTGGCCGCCACTGAGTGATCTGAAACACAGAGAGAGAGGAAGGTCAAAGGCGGTGAAGGGGGAAGGAAAATAAAAAATAACATTTAAAAATCATAAAAATAAAAACAGCAACATGAGTATTTTTATATTTATTTGGATTTAAAATACATTATTATTCTTCATCTTTTTCTTTTTGGCAGGAATGAGCTTCCGGAGAAAAAGGCAAGAGCACATAATAAATCTTTCCAACTCCCTTCAGATAAATATTGACTTTTTCTTTCCAACACAAAAGAACAAAAACTGAGCTGCAGATAAAAGCTCCTGTTTGCAGCTCTCAATAATGACTGTGTGTGTGTGTGTGTGTGTGTGTGTGTGTGTGTGTGTGTGTGTGTGTGTGTGTGTTTCCAGGCACTTGAAAGTGACTCTTGAGGACTGGAGTCTATCCGGGGATCAATATTTGGGGAGGGCAGGAGAGCTGAGGTCAGGTGATAAGATAAGTCAGGTGAAGGAGGAAGGAGCAGAGCGGGAAACTCAGCCAGCAGGTAAATCATCTGACACACCGACACCTGACTCCAGGTCAGACGTTTAAAACGTGTCTCTCCCAGGTTTCATCCATTTTTATTGATCTATTTTACATATATATAAAATTCCTTTATTTATTCTACTATAACATTTATTAAATTATTATTGTATATGTTACATTATTTTATTATATTTCTATATGTTTACATTTTCTTACAGATCCCAGCAGGTGGCATTTTTATTTTTTACTATACTTTTTTATTGAATACAATAATAATTTAAATTAATGTTATAGTAGAATAAATAAAGGAAATTTTATGATATATGTAAATATAGATCAATTAAAAATGATGAGAACCTGCGGAGAGGACACGATTTTTAAAAACGTCTGACCTGGAGTCAGGTGTCGGTGGTGTCAGATGATTTACCTTGCTTGCGCTGAGTTCCCGCTGCTGCTCTTCTCCTTCACTGACTTATCTTATCAACTGACCGTCAGCATCTCCTGCCCTCCCCAAACGTAATTGATCCCGGATGACTCCAGTCCTCAAGAGTCACTTTCAAGTGCCTGAAACACAACACACAAACACCACACACAACACCACACACACACACACAGCATCACACCACATCATTATTGAAGAGCTGGCAAACAGGAGCTTTTTATCTGCACAAAGCTCAGTTTTTGTTCTCTTTGTGTTGGAAAGAAAAAGTCAATATTTATCTGAAGGGAGTTGGAAAGATTTATTATGTGCTCTTGCCTTTTTCTCTCCGGCAAGCTCAGTCTGCCAAAAAGAAACAAGGATGCAAGAATAATAATGTATTTTAAATTCCAAATAAATATTAAAAATACTCATGTTGCTGTTTTATATTTTTAATGATTTTTAAATGTATTTTTTAATTCTTCCTTCCCCCTTCACGCGCCTTTGACACTTCCTCTCTCTCTGTTGTTTCAGATCACTCAGTGGCGGCCAAGTCTGCGAGGTTTGTTTTCACCGGCGCGGCCCTGGTCACGTTGGAGCAGCGGCGGTCAGAAGTCCAATACAGCGACCATGCGGCCCGGTGATCGAGTCCTGGCCTCTGACGGGCAGCGACGGCAAGCGGGGAGCTGCTTTAACAGCGAAGTCTGAACCTTCCTGGACCGTGGACCCCGTGACACAAACTCTTCTACACCCTGCAGACAAATCCGGGGCCAGCTCTCGCTCACGCGTGCCACCTGCGTGCTTTGTAATCAAGAGGGGGAACTGCTCAGAGGGGGCGGTGCTGGCCCATGGCGCCTCAGGACTCGTGTAGCCCAGTCGACGCCCGCCCGGGAACAGTGTGTAGCTTGGTGGATACGGGAGGGTAAATACCGGGCGACAGAGAGGCACAGAGAGGGGCGTCGTGTCGTCGGGTCACCCGGGTCAAGCCCCTGAGGAGAGGAGGGGGGCGTTTGCGCCGCTGACCCGGCAAGGGCAGGTGGTGGTGGATCGGGGTGGTGGCGTCCTGGCTCAACGGCCGTGGTGGACGCACTCCCTGGCTCACTGGGCCTTCTCCCCTCAGGCCTGCTGCACAGCTGGGACCGGGACCAACCGACCCACCAACTGAATGGATCCCACTGGTACTCGCAGCTTTAAACACTGGTGGCGGGGGGTGCTGCTATGACTCAGGACTGCCTCCATCCACTGGATGGAGCGCATTAGTAGCTATCTGGGGCGTCGGGCCAGGACGACAGGTGAGGGAAGGTTTGGAACAGGTAAAAACGAACAAGACAGTGAACCTTGAACCCCCTCACGTGGTGGCGGAATGGACGCCCAAACACAAGCCTGTCGAGCTGAACAGGACCGTGAATGAAGCGGCTGACAGGACCGGAGACGATTGGGTTCCCTGCTGAGGCCTGATGGGAAAAAAAAGACCGGAGTGAACGGACACAGAGGAACAGGACAGAGAATACGAGTCAGAGTGAGAAGACTCAAGCACGCAACGCTTCCACTTCAACCTGAGACAATTATCCTTAATTTATGAACGCGGAGCACCTTAATCTTAAGATAAGGAGCCCAGAGATTCCTGGAGTTTTGTCCATTTTAAGTTAAAAAACTAAACCCATCAAAACACCTTCATTGTAAAAGCCATTTCATTCAACTTAATTGGCTTTTAAGTGGTGCATGGATTTCCCATAAATTCACATATTGTAATATATTAAGGGTTTACACGTTTGGATTAAGGGTTTTTTTTGTTGTTGATTAAAGTAACATAAAGCCATTCTTTAATTTACAGTTTTCCCTTAAAAAAGTGCCCTAGTTCATTAACTGTCCATTACTTTAAATCCCTTAAGATTCTTTTATTTGAACCTGAAAATATTCTCAGACCTTTAATGAAAACTAAAATCCAACCTTAATAACACCTTAAATTAATAATTACTATGTAATTTAAGGGGAAATCCATGCACCACTTTAAAAGCCAATTAAAGTTGAATGAATGGCTTTTAAATGAAGGTGTTTTGATGTGTTTAGTTTTTTAACTTAATGGACAAACTCCAGGATCTCTGGCTCCTTATTTTAAGATTAAGGTGCTCGGTTCATAAATTAAGGGATAATTGTCTCAGGTTTGAAGTGAAGCGTGTGTTTGAGTCTTTCTCACTCTGACTCGTATTCTCTGTCTGTTCCTCTGTGTCCGTTTCACTCCGTCTTTTTCCCATCAGGCCTCAGCAGGAACCCAATCGTCTCCGGTCCTGTACAGCCTCATCCACGGTCCTGTTCAGCTCCGACAGGCTTGTGTTTGGGGTCCATGTCCGCCACACGGTGAGGGGGGTTCAGGTTCCTGTCTGTTCGTTTTACTGTTCCTCCCTCAGCGCTGATCGTCCTGGCAACGCCCAGTGTGGATGGAGGACGTCCTGAGTCACAGCCCCCCCAGCCGTAGCTATAGAGCTGCGACGTACCAGTGATCCCATACAGTGTGGGGGTCCGGTGTTCCCGGTCCAGCTTCGTGCAGCTGGCACCAGCACCTGAAGGGGGGAGAAGGCCCAAGTCAAGTGAGCCAGGGATGCTGGTCCCACAGCACGGCGATAGCGAGTGACCGCCACCACCTCAGGTACCACCACAGCAACCTGTGATTAACAGAGCCTGCGCGGGTCAGCGGCGCAAACGCCCCCGCCTCCTCTCCCGTCAGCAGGCTGCAACCCGGGTGACCCGAGACAGACGCCCCTCTCTGTGCCTCTGTCCGGTATTACCGATCCGACACAGCCACACACCTGTTCCGGGCGCCGGGCGCTACTGGCGTACACAGTCCTGAGGGCCGCCATGGGGCGGCACCGCCCCCTCTGAGCAGTTCCCCTCTGATACAAAACACCAGGTGCGGGCAGCGGTGAGCGAGAGCTGTGCCCGCGATTCTGTCTGCAGGGTGTAGCAAAGTTTTCGGGGTCACGGGGTCAACGGTCCAGGAAGGTCAGGACTTCGGTGTAAAGCAGCTCCCCGCGCCGTCGCTGCGTCGACGAGCAGACTCGATCACCGGCCGCAGGTCGCTGATGAGACTTCTGACGCGCCGCTCTCCACGTGACCAGAGCCGCGCCGCGGGAAACAACCTCCAGACTTGGCCGACCACGAGTGAATCTGAAACACAGAGATGAGAGGAAGGTCAAAGGCGGTGAAGGGGGGAAGGAAAATAAAAATAACATTTTAAAAATCATAAAATAAAAACAGCAACATGAGTATTTTTATATTTATTTGGATTTAAAATTACATTATTATTCTTCATCTTTTTTCTTCTTTTGGCAGGATAGGCTTCCGGAGAGAAAAAGGCAAGAGCACATAATAAATCTTTGCCAACTCCCTTCAGATAAATATTGACTTTTTCTTTCCACACAAAAAGACAAAAAACTGAGCTGCAGATAAAAGCTCCTGTTTGCAGCTCTCATAATGACTGTGTTGTGTGTGTGTGTGTGTGTGTGTGTGTGTGTGTGTGTGTGTGTGTGTGTGTGTGTCTTCCAGGCACTTGAAAAGTGACTCTTTGAGGACTGGAGGTCTATCCGGGGATCAATATTTGGGGTAGGGCAGGAGAGCTGAGGTCGGTGATAAGATAAGGTCAGGTGAAGGAGGAAGGAGCAGAGCGGGAAAACTCAGCCAGCAGGTAAATCATCTGACACACCGACACCTGACTCCAGCGTCAGACGTTTAAAACGTGTCTCTCCGCAGGTTTCATCATTTTTATTGATCTATTTTACATATATAAGAAATTCCTTTATTTATTCTACTATAAGATTTATTACATTATTATTGTATATGATTACATTATTTTATATCATATTTCATTATGTTTACATTTCTTAGCAATCCCAGCAGGTGGATTTATTATTTTTTACTATACTTTTTTATTGTTACCTTATTTATTTAATATATGTATACATATTTTAAAATATACTTTTTTAAATTATACTTATTTTATTATTTATTTATACATGGTTTTTTTTTACCTTTTAAATCAAAGATAAATTAGAATATGATTTTATAAGGGTGATAATTCTGCTTTATTAAGTCACAGTTGTTT